CGCCCCCCCCCCCCCCGGAACAGATGCCTGGAAGAAACTCTGCTAGAATGTAAAGGCTATTCGTAAATTCACAAATTTTGTTGTTGTGGAGAGTCTATAATTATAGTTCAAATGAGATATAGTCAGTGGTCCCCGCACCCAAACGAAATATACTTGGCTTGGTTGTATTTTTTGACGTTTTTGAAATAGTTTGCTCTTTTCGCATCCACTCGAATGGTGTGACCTTTAGGCTCAAAAGGATTCTTTTAAAAAGACGTGACCTTGTCGTCAACACTGCGAACAGAGTAGCACTAGGGGCTAACAGTTTTTTGGTGTCGATTTTACATTAGCTTTTTGGTCGACTGAAGCCACGCTATAGATGAGTGGATGACTAGTAAATTGGGGTTCTGGAGACCACGGCCGAGTGCAATGTCTGATACGTGAATCGATTCATGTTTTTATTTAGGAAAAGTGCGAAATCTGTTGTGAATACAGATTTTATATACAAGCTTTCTGTTAAAGTTAAAGCTGGAATTCCTTTTACAAGCTTTTGCTTAGTTCACAATGTGGGTTTGTGGCTAACATAGTCCCTCAATTTTGACCCACTTCTAATGCAGTGATTTCGTTAAATGAGATCTCTTACTTGTATTTTCGCGACCAAAATTTTTGTATTAAAGAAAGAAAAATAGTTTTGTTTTCTTATTTTCAGTACATGTTATTAAAAAGTGTATTTTTACATTTGTTTTATTAAGATTATAATCTTTTTTTTTTTGACCGATCTAAGATCCTGTTCATAGATGCAAATAGTCATGTTTTATTTTTAAATTTAAACAATAATATAAATTAATAATACTCTATTATTTTTACTATTAACATTATCCATTTAAGAAGAGTAGCCTATTTTATTTTCTAATACACCCTCTTGTCTTAAAGGTCATGTTATACATTTCACTTCAATTATTCAACTAACAAACAAAAGGCGGTCTTTCAAAGTAAAATAACACTAAACGACAACAAAACTTTTATTAAAATTATCTTATCTATTATTTATATGTGATTTCCTGGCAAAATTTGACTAATCTAGATTAGAGATAAGGACCTATGTCAATATCTAAAACAATAATCAGAAACAAAGGAAATTTCACAAGTTAAGTTTTAATTATCACTGTCAACGCCTCATCGCCCCAAGACGACGGAAACCTAAAATCACGCGGTGTTTACATTTTTTGGATGAATATTGTCCACAACAGTGCAGAGACCGCGCAGGCAAGGAATTCATGGATCATCACGTCTGGCCAACTGACAGCATGCCGTCTGCGTTTTTGTCATTTTTAGGTTTGTTGACAGTGTAGCCTCGTTTTCAGGTGGAAGTGGTTGACTGTGCTTGGGGAAACTAGAACAACTTTTGGGATCGTCTGTGTATGACGTCATACATATCAAGGGGAGGAGGGTTAAATATTTAATGGCGATATGTTCAAGACATTTTATGTAGCATGAGTGTTCCTGTTTTTATTGTGAAAGTTTTGATCCCTCAACGTGTACAAATACCTAATATGTAATCAAAAGTTCTCTTTTTTTTTAACTTTTGACCCTGAATCAGTGGATGTCCCAAAAGATTTTTCGCTTCAGCCCAGGATCTTGATTTTTGCTTATTGGCTTAGTGTTTCAATTAGACATCATTCTTCGGGGAGGGGGGGGGGGGCGGATGGGAGAGAGGACTCAATTGCCCCCCCCCCCCCCCCCCCCCCCCATCATTGAAGAAATGCCTAATAGAAACTCAGAATATATTATTATTATTTTATTACCTGTACTTTTCTGCCTTAGTGTTCAGCTAATTTATTTATTTCAGGATACAGTAGATATGGTTTTAATCATACTAGTAGGCTAGCTATGTCTCAAAACAGCTACCATAACATGCGCTTTTTCTGTCTTTTTGCTTAGCAAATCTTTTTATGGACTAATGGGGACGAATGTGTTTTTTTACATTTTTTTTACTCTTCAAATTGCAGGCTTTTCATTGCAACATTTTATCTGGCCACTCCCTCGTTTTAAAATTTAAATTAGATTAATATATTGCTATTTTAGGACTGGCTGTTAAGTTTTAAGTTATCCTAAAAAAAGCCAAGCATGAATCATATACTAAATTATATGTGATTTTTAAAATAATTATCCTTCTTTGATTTTATGACACTTGTGTCCTAGTATTCTAAAGCAACTGAGCCCACATACTAAGCCCTAAGCCAAGTTCAAGTTTATTTCAGCACTGCATACAAAAAGTAACAATGTTTACAATGCTGACCTTAAAAAATCAGCCTCTTCAAAACATTACATTTACAACACTGAACATTTTAAAATTGCTTGTAGTTTCTACTTGTGGTTTTTGTGTGTGTGCAGCGTAATACCTGCTGCAGAATTCCATCCCCTCCCCTTCCACATAAACAATGACATCATTGCTATTATTATTATTATCACAGGATCTCAATATACAACAACAACTAGGGGAATACCTTGATTATATGTGTGTGTGCTGGGGAGGGGGGAGGTGTAGGAGTTGATAGAATCCTTAATATTTAATGTCAAGCGTTCACGCACAAATATATTCTGGAATGGTTCAAATTAATTTTAAATATTAAAGAAAAATTATTTGTATTCATTATATTTATATTATAAACATTTTCCGTCATGATCCACTTTATTGTATAATTTTTAAACCCTGCTAGTGCTACAAATGCAATGTGTTACATCCTATTTAATGCCAAAATTGGTTAAGTTAATCATCAGGTAAATAGCTTGTGCAATTAGTTATAACGCAATACTCTATACTTTAAATAATATTCTTGTACTAACCAGAGTTTCAATACACCACATTGAGGCTTTTTCTATGCTTTTAGTTGTCTAACAGATGCATAGCAGAACCTGAAGCTATCAATACAATGGTTAAGGGTAGAGTCCACACAATGATGTGCTGGGTCGTTAACTTTTTAACATGGGTTGGGAATTTAATGTATTTTTTTTACAGTAAAAATAAAAAGATTCTTAGTGGTGGTTAAATAGTTAGATTGTTGTCAAATGCTAATCACGATGGTTTGTGGTTTAGAAGTATTTTGCTTCTATCATCATCAACATTGTCAACTGTTGCATGAAGCTCACTGTTTTAATATGATTGTTGTTCATCTACTCAGATCTATTTTTAAAAATACTTAAATAAGAAATAATTAGCAGTTTGGAATTAGTAATATTTATGAAATTTATATCATCATTTAGATCTATGTATCCTTTGCAAAACTGTATTTTAGTAGTTAAATTTTAAACTTTATAGTTAAACCTACCCATTTTACTCTCTTAGAGAGTGGATTGGCAATTTTGCAGTTTTAAATTTATTTTTTTCTAGTATCTTTACCCTTTGCATTTTAAGTTTTTTAAAGACTTAAAACCTATTCATTTTAAACAATAATTGATATTCAGATAATCCATTCCTTTAGTGTTTAATTAAAATCTATTATCATTTTGTATAGATTATATTTTTTGTTATTAAAGGAATACATTATTTCTATGCAGCAAATAATTCTGACTATTTCATAGTACTAATTTTAACAGAGAATTTTTCGCGTAGATCTAATTATAAGCATAAAGGTTTGTCAATGTGATCTAGATCTAGATCTATTTAATTTAGGCTACTACTAGTACTATTTTAATTTTAATTTATGGACTGAAAATTTATCTACAAAGGGACACTAATCTACCTGAATTTAAATAATTGAATAGCTTCCCCTTGGCCATGTACAACAGTCTCAAATTGCCCAATACTTTCAAATCAATGTTTGGATCACATTTAATTATTATATCAATATAGAATTTTAAATCAGTGTGTGTAACATATTTGAAATATGTTACCGAAGGTTTCGTAATCTGTGTGTGTTACATTTAATTATTTTGTGCTCTGAGCAGGAACAACTGCAAAGGAGCTATAGTATGTCTGCGGCTTATATCAAGTCTATGTCGCTGGATAGACCCAAAATGGGAGTGTACTCTGTTGGCATCACTCACCCCTCCAGCGGCCACAACAACAACGTCAATAAAAATGTTGGCAGCAATACACCTGTCAACAACAACCGAATGCCCCCTGCAGGTAAACAAGTCTTTTTGTATAGATCTATACAAATATTATTATAAATAACTGACCAGTGGCTAGTGTTTATTATTTATTATTAGGGCCTATTAATTAGGATGATTGATTATTTATTAATTAATTAATAATTATGGATGGTTTAGTTTAGGCCTTAGGACCAGACTATATAGTACTATGTAGTAGTAATACTATTTAGCCATAATCAGCCTTAATAATTATTTATTAGTTTTAAAAAGTGTTCTTATACCGCGTTTACACTTGCGATATGTATACTATACATTTCTAGAAAAAAAAACTTCGCTATAGGTCCTAAGATAATAGGGGAGCCTACTCACTTATTGCGAAGAATTTTATTTCTAGACATGTATAGTATACATGTCGCAAGTGTAAACGCGGTATTATACTTATTGTGGGTTTTTGTCCCAGGCTTACCAGTGATAAATAAAATTCCACTAAATAAGTACTTATTTTAATATTTATGGATTATCAGGTATAATAAAGATAAAGAATTAGGTGTGCAGTACTAAGAGCAATGGAGATAGATATGGTACAGTGTCTTTGGTATTTGACACAAGTTATACATCAGTCTTTGTGCGAGTTTTTTAGAAACAGCAAGTCCTTTGAAAACGAGCAGTGAAGTTGGTATTATTCGAAAGCTTCATTAAAGTTGTCTTTAAATTTATCTTCTCAGTTACAGGGGTGAATCCAATTCACAGCCAGTCAATGTACAACTTACCCGGAAACAGACGCAGTTTTGCTGAGCCCCTTCATCAGCCCCCGCCGCCACCCTATGATCCTAGACTTTCGTCCAAAGATGATTCATCTTTGCTAGGATCTAGTGACCGGCGGGCCATGTCAGAGTTCCACATTAACTCCGCCTTTCGCTCTCCCACTCAGCCCCTCTCTGGCTATTTCGACACAGGCCACAGAAGTGAACGTTCTGGAATCTACGAGAGTATCAGAGAAAGGACTGAGCCAGAAAACTCTGCTTCTTCTTCCTCTTCAGATCTTGAAAGCGTGCCTATGCCAAGGCCTAGAAACAGGAGACTTGCGGCTAAGGATGGGCCTGGGTTAGCCAATGGTAGGGAGAGTCTGTCATTTTCGTCAAGAAAATCTACAGACAAACAGGACTTTAATCCCAGAGATTCTGGAATTCTCGATGATCGCTCGTCAAGCCATGGTAATTCTTTAGAGGGTAGCAGCATCACCACGACTGACGGAACCACAAACAACGGCACTAAAACTCGCGGCAGGCCAGTCTCTGTGAATGACGCGGAGTCATCTAAACTGGAAAAGTCCAGGTCTGAAGGATCCTTTAACTCCGGGGCCTTGTATTACCAGTCTGAGCGTGGAAGAACGAAGAAGAAAGTGCCAATCCCAAGTCAGTTTTACAGCAAAGAAAACAACCACGGTGAGCTGGTTGTTAGAAAAAGGTCCAGAGGCCAAAGAGATAGACTGAGGCAATTACGGCAAGGTAAATTAAAAATTTGTTTTTAAACTGTTGGTATAAATTAGTCCAGTATATTCTGAAGGCTACTTTTAGATCAGAAATTGCTTATTAAATCATTCTTAACCATAAATATTGTAAAGCTATTAAATTGTTTAAAGGGGTCAGCGTGGTAGGGCTTGTTAAGTTAAAGCGAAACCTTTCTAGTTTGAAACCCTAGGCAGATGAGACTCAATAGATGCAGACAGCAACCCATCTTAAAGAGAAAACTCCAAATTAAAGAACTACTGCCTTGTACTTATAGACAAAGGCTATAGAAGCAAATCTATAGAAAAGCAGGCTGAAATCTGAATCAGTGGCCTATATGGCGCATAACTATACTTACTTGTATTGGAAGATATTGTATTCAATAATACAATTAATAAAGAAGAAGAAGAGATGTTTAAATTAAGGTGTTTTTATATACTCATTTCTTTTGTAAGGAGAGCTTTGTAGGAAAAATGTTTGCAAAGAATAGTATACACATTATGATTTTGTGATTTCAGTGAAAAAACTATTTTTAGTTTACAATATTTAAATTCTATTAAAATATGTGTGGGTCACAGGTAACAGACGCTACACTGTACAAGGGCTAGATAGCCATCCAACTAGTGGCTTGTATGACGACAGTTTGTCAGACAGAAGCGACTCATCAAGGACAGAGGTCCCAGAGGATCTTCTCTCTGTCTTTAAAAACATGTCAAAAGAGGTTTGAGCTGTTTTTTTTTTAAAATCCTACTTTTAAAGTTTTCATTGTAAATGTAGCACTTCACATTTTACGCACACTAAAATAAAAATAAAAAATATATTGAAAGAATATTATTGTTAAGTTCTTATAAATCTAATTTCTTATTTTTAAACGTGTACTTTGTATGGTGTAATTTTCAGGGAGGGGAAGTTCTGTGAGAAAATCTTTTCTAGATTTTTAGTATCTCATATCTGATAATGAATATGATCATTTAAGTCACCCAAACCTCATTTTAAATCACACATTATACTTTAATATTTTTTCAGGAACTATTTCGAGTTGTCATTCAGTGTAAGGCTCAAATGATTAGAAAGGACCAGTACATCAAAGATCTGGAAAACTATATTGATGACTTGCTTGTGAGAGTCATGGAGGCAACACCCAAACTATTAAGTCGTCCAGGCATGCTTAGATAAACTAAACTTTGGTTGAAAATAAACTTCATCGTAAATTCTTAATGATATTTTTTATCAGCCTAGGTCAACAAAATATTGTTATTTTGTTTTATTATGTATAAACCATTTCAATAGAATTCAATGATGATTTTAAAGCCCCGGTGAAGACTAGGTCTCCAATATCCAGAGCTAAATATTTCTACTATAATATTAATATAATGAGGAGTTATCTTTATCTTCATTCTGATTTTTATTCTGCTAGTTGTTTCATTAATTCACTGGATTGTATTAATAAACATGATACAATGCTTTAGGTTTGTGTACAAATTAGTTATTGAATTTGGCTAGAGATGTGATTAAAAACTGATTTTGGCATTATTTTTATTTCAAAGATTTATGTGAAAAGATTATCTTCTAAAGAAAAGAACTAAATATATTTAAAATGTGTCTTGAAGCTCAGAGGTGGTTATCTTCCCTCTGTCATCAAATCAGTTTTTTAATTTTAAAAAATTACCTGACTGAAGATGAAAAGTGAGAAAAAGATCAGTAAGTTCCTAGATATTAAACAAGTATTTTCCACAAGTAAATTTTAGTGTTTGCTAATCTATCATTATATAAGCTTTCAAATAATAATTTTTTTTCCTTATTTTTTAAAGTTGTACTCTCCACATTTATTGCTTGTCTTGAACATAAAGCAGAGATTTCAGTGCTAAGGTGCTCTAAAAACCCTTATTTTCTTCGAAATTTTTTAAATAGAACGTTACATAGAAAATATTGGTACAAGTTTTCACTCCTATGTGTATTACTTTTATGATTACATAAATTAAATTGTGTATTACTGAAAGTGTAGGCTAGTGTAAAGGTGCTAACTTAGTTATCTGTACTTCTAAGATTAAAGTTAATGCAAGCAAGTATTGCAATTTTTTTCAACCTAAATAGTTTAGTGAAAATTTCATTTAGTAGACCTTTGTAGTAACAAACCTACCAGAACTATTTCATGATATACCTGATAGGTTGATGTAATTTTTTAAAATAAAAAGCCAAAAGCAGCTCAGTTTTTTTTTGGATAATTCTGTCCATTTAATTTTAATGAAATGGTATAAGCACAAATTGTTAAAATTAAAGCAGTTGTTTAAAGTTGACCATTTTATTTTAATCATTAATTGCCCCCCCTTTTTTTAAAAAAAATTGCTACAGTAGTATCTGTAAAGCCATTCATAGAGCTGTACATTTTTTAGCCTTCCACTCATTTGTTGTCCTTTGTAAAATATTATTACACTTGAAACTATAGTAATCCTGAAAGACTGAGTAGCAGTTTCATTTTTTTTTCTTTTCCTCCTTGTGTATATATAGATGTCAATATTTGTTAAAATGTACATTGAGGTTAATGAAATAGTTAATCTACAGTTGTTACATTTTAATTTTATAACCACTTTTTAAAAATATATTTTGTAGCCATTTTTATTTTATAATTGTTTTTCTTCCAGTACATAGATGTTGTAATGTATAAAATCTGTCTATGTTGTTTTAGACATTTTTGGAAAGTAGATCTGAATGTTGGTGCTATCTGGTACTCTAGAATATTCAACTATCAAGATTCTTATTTTAACAAAGGTTGACTGTCATTTGGGTTCGTTGTTTTTTGTAGTTTTAAAAATTGTATCATTGTTTTTATAACAACTTATTTTTTAAAACAATGTGATCACAGAGGTTAACTTCTCATGAATATTTTTCTTTCAAATGATTTTTAAAAAACTGGGGTGATGGTGGCTTTATTATATTTTATTAAAAGTAAAATCAGTTTCTTTATTATTATTTTAGGTCAGTCACACTTATTTATATACAACTAACCCAAATTTTGATGACTGAAAACTTCTTTAAATATTAATTTTACATCATACAAAATTGTTTTTGTTTTAGTGATTTGTCAGAACATTAAAAGTAAAAATTTAAAGATATCGTTACTGCTAGCAAGCATATTGTTAAAAATGTTAGACAAATTTGTTTCCCGTTTCATAGACCAAATTTTAATTTTCCCCCTATTATAAGTATATTAACATATGTAACGAGCTTAGCCCCATTAGCAATAATATATTTGATTAAACTTCGCCTTAAGCTGGTGTATTTAATAAACTAAAGGAGTGCAGATGTAACTAGAACATTTTCAGTTGTTGCCTTACAAAGTCACAAATATTTGATTCTTCTCATGTTTGTTATTGTGTCTATTTCATAGAACTTATTCATCTGAAAATTAAAGGTTTTTTTTATATAGCTTAATGAATTTTGTAGTTTTTTTCTAAAGATTAAACTTACTTAAAAAAAAAGATTAATTTAAGAGAAGGTGATAAAGATTAACAAAACTTTTTTAAAACTATAGCAATAAAAAACCAATACAATTGATAAACAACTTTTTGTTCAAAAAAATTTTCATTTATTTGGAAAAGTTAACATGAAACAGACAAAAACAGTAAGCCAGACAAAATGGGATGTAACCAAATTGGAAGAGGGAAAGGGAATTAGAATTACTTCTTTTAAATACCATTTTTTAAAAATGTAGTGTATTTTTTTTTATAGATTTTAATGGTATACAGACTATTTCATTTCAAACTTCAGCTAGTTAATTTACAAATTTTTACCAAAAAAAAAAAAAAAAAACAAGACAAGACATGTAATGACTTAAAAAGTTAGTTAAAAGCACATTTAAAGTAAATAAAAATCCTTGATATTATTCCAGTTTAATTCAGTTGTTTACCTTGTCCACCTTGGCCTGTAGAATCCATGCATCCATTATCTTGTGAAACTCCCTTGATCCACAGCATCCAAACTTGTCTTGACTTAATTTTAAAAATAATCCAACCTGGGACTTTTCCCCCCCTTTCCCAGATGATTATAAAAAAAGGTATATAGACAACAGTTCATATCTAATATAAGTCTTGACAGCAACAAAAATTCTACATTAGCAACACTGAAGATGGTGGAAGGACATAAAAAAATGTTCTCTCTTTCTGCATACATCTCCAACCATTTGGGCAGCAGAACAAACTTGATACAAGATGAGGCCTAGGGAAAATTATCAGAGGAAGAGAAAGAAAAAATGCATTGTCAGTTATGCATGATCAGACATTTTATTGGGGTGTCAATACCTGCAAAGCCATTTGTCCCACTATCTGTAAATTATTAATGTAAATCAACATTTTATAATGAGCAATAATGAACAAGAGCAATGGGGTAGGGTAATAGGATGAAACATGTTCTGACAAGGTTTTCTTTAAAAATTGTAAATCACCAAGTTTGAAATCATTTGATAGCTTTGCAGATACTCCCCATCAAATAACATTTGCATAAATACAGGCATGTTTTAAAATCATATAAATGCAATTGGTTTAAACAGTAATAAAATATAGTATCAAAGTAAAGTACATCAATATATTTTATAAGCATTGCAATTAATAACCATATAAATATTTGTTAACAATCCCTGTCATGTATATATTAACAATAGTGTAAAGCGTTGTTATCACAGAGTTGTTTCTGCTGCCAAATGAAAACAAAACCCTAAACATGTAATGGATACCAGGCCTGACCTAGACTTAATTAGCTGCCACAGATAAGATGTGAAAACCTGACCATTGAAAAGGCAAGCTGACAACCGGTTACTACAATGAAATGTGTAAGTCAACAGCCATTTGTCAACTACCAAACTAAAATGTATCCATCCAACTAAAAACAGGCTAGGTGTGTTGACACTATAAAGGTTGTAATCACAACACTTCCCAGAAGCCCTGCGTTCCATGCTGTACAAATAATTACCACAGCAAATACCAACAAATACTTGCCATTGCTGGTTAAAATTCTTTTATTTATCAGTTTACAAAAGCTCTTAAACATGGATTACCCAAAGTAAAACCAATAATCTCTAAATAATAAAATTTATTAAATGTTAACTTTAAGGTGATCTCAGATTTAAGAGCCATTGTTGTATTTAATGTAATGAATCATATTCTACAATGAGTATTTTTCATCTAGTCTACACAGGTCCAGTAAACAGTGCCATGAAAACAAAAAGCCATAACAAGAATAGAGATAAAGATAATTGTCAAGTTGGTCGATGCACTAAAGTGTTGTAATTTAATTTTTTGGGAGGCTTTTAACCACAATGGCTTCACAGAAGCCATAAAAACAGGTTACACATGCATACACTAAATTTACACTAAAATAGTGTTAAGAAATAGCAAGTTGTTAAAATGGTAGTAAAATATTTAAAACAGCTAATTAATCAACTATCAATTAATAAATTGTATTTCAAGTCACAACATCACATACATACTAAGTTACAAGTTTTTCTAACCTAAATATCGAAAGAGTGTCAGTATTGCAGCTCTATTATAAGAATTGAACCATATGAACGGCATCAGTATTCAGCATAAATTGTTTTATAGAACACAGCATCGCTTCCTTCAATAAACTATATAAATTTGTTTTTACAAAAATAAGTAGGCCTACTTAGGATGTCTTTTTAGGAGACACTTTAAAATGTATTCATAGCAAGGACAGCATGCATACAAGTTTCTATTCAATTTAATTATAAAAAAAATGTTTTCAAATCTTTATTAATTTAAAAAAAAAAAAAAGACTTAGTTTATCTTTTATATTTAGTTCTTAATTTTAATATTTACATTTGTGGTAAAAAAAAAAAATTCCTTTACTTTTGCTAAAAAATTACAAGAGCTTTTTCAAAGTTAATTTGAAAATTTAACTGTAGCTGCTAGTGCATATATTTTAATATAACAAATGGTGTGTAGTTATTTTATTTTCCTATATTTATTGATTACTTTAAAATATTGACTGTAAAAAAAAGCTAAATGACACAAAAAAGAACTAGTATTTATCAAACCTGTATTAAATATTTCGCGAAAGATAATATTCCATCCCGACAAAAATAAATTACTTTAAATAAGAGGTGTTTCAAAACTCAGAAAAAATAAATCAAACTTATACATTCAAAACTTCTAAACAAACTAAAGCCACCTCATAATTTAAAAAAAGAACATCCCTCGTCCACAGAAGCGAACACTTATATATTTTTAATAAATGCAAGTAAATTTATTCAACATAGTTTCTACTTTGGGAGAAAAATAAGGGGCGAGTTGTAAATATTAAGTAAGTGTCAGATAAAAGGTTAGTTAATCTTTTCAATGTTCTTTACATTATTGTGCAGCATACACACAAAAAAATTAAAAAGCTTCAATGCTAAACATTTAACTAGACCCAGTAATGTTTACAAATAGGAAAACGTTTTTCGTTTGTTTTACAGTGAGGCTCAGGGTTAAGAATTTAATCCTAGCAAGCGGTCTTTAACTTTTAACATTTAAAAAGTACATGGTTCGGCAATTAGAGATTTAAAACGTGTGAGTTTTCAAATACCTCATCAAATTTTAAAATACATGTTTCAATTATGCTTCAAATTTTCCAACAAATAATTAGTATTTGTTTTAATATATTCTCCTCTTTATAATAATTTTGCTATAATTTCAACATTTTAGCTTTTTCTATAATGTAAAAGTAGAATAATTATCTTTTACTGAAACATTTTTAACCTGGAGCCCCATTAAATCTTCAAAACTTTAGTGAAATACATTAAACTATTTCACATCTTGCATTACCAAGTTCTTACTCAGTGGTTTTTAAAATAAAACAGGTTAATCAAATTGTATGTCTTCTGATAAAGTACATGTATTTGACTAACAAATACTTTGTTCTTATAACTTGATCTTCAAACCAGTATTTTAATAAACCAATTTTTTTTTAACTGGAAGCCTGAACATAAAAAAAATTAAGTAATTTTTACACAAAATCAAAATTGTAGGAGGTACATGCTGCGTAGCCTGAATTCATAAGACTAGATTCTAAAAAAAAAAAAGGAGCAAACAAAAAATTTGAAAAACATAAAAGTATCAACGGAAAAACATAGTTTTCTAAATACCTTTGTGTTTATCATATTTGTATGCATTTCCTTTTTCCTTTAACAATTTAAGAAAATACTACAGAAGATAGCTACACATAGCAGTTATTAATTTCTCTATGTTTTATTCTACACTTACTTAATTTTCTGGCAACATTATGGCCTGACCAGGAAGGAATTATGCAATTTTATTTAGAATTATATCATAGGTAGCGAGGTGATAACAAACAAGACCCTTAATAAATGACTGAATAAATAATAAGGGAAGAATACTTTCAATACACTTGTACTTGTAGGATTTTGTAAAACAAAAGATAAATTTATTTAAAAACAAAAGAATAAAAATTAGTGAAGAATGAAGGGATAGAGATTTGATGATAAAAAATGTATCTACACTCCTTTGTGGTTTATTAGTTGCTGTGTTTTAAATAGATGTAAAGCTTTGAAATTAAATAGTTAATGAGAGACATGGCAGTAAAATATCAGATTCCTTTAAACACTTATTCTACTTTTACAGTAAAATGCAATTTAACTATCAAATTTGCCATTGTTAAACAAATGAGCAAATTAATAACAGTTGTATAATGGGTACATAACGTAGGATTAACTAAGCCAGAAATTACAAAACCAGAACAACACAAAATTAATATTTTAGTAGCCCGGAACTGAACTATTAATTCAATCTGCTGTTTAATTAATGCCCTGTATTCAATAAGTTCAACAGTAAAAGAATTTTTTGATATTTTACAAAGAATAATATCCTGAGCAATTCACCAGAAAATATACAAAAACTGAACTGGCTGTGTAATGTTTCATACTTATAAATATTTACAGTATTATGATGCCTCTATCTACATTCAATTTTTAAAGAACAATATGTAGAATAATGTACATTTTTTTTCAAACCTGCAGCATAATTTGACTTACGCCTAGCAAAGATAGCACTGAATTTTTTTAGTAAAATAAAATGGAAAATAGCTAAATTCACTTTTAATACCATGTCTCCCTGCAAGCATTCTTTCATTTTGAACGGAATAAGCATTTTTTTAAAGTATGGATGAATTTTTATGACACATTACATAAACTAATTTTAACATGAACAAATATAAAACAAAGTTTCTTACTCTATACTTATAAATGTTTGTCCTTTACAGATTTGACTGTTTATTTAAAAAACTGAAACTTTAAGTGTCCCAAATAACCATATTACTGAATGTCATTATATACAATATGCAGCGCCCATTAAAGCATAACCGTTGTCAATAGCACACAGCCATTACAGAATACTAACTGTGCTGTTGCAGCTAGTTAACTAGTTGAAACCTCAGCAAAAATCCATGACTTACAAACATGGAATACACTACAATTGTTTTAGGGATACCTCAACCATACAGCAATTTATTATTTCCTATATGACTACAATAAATGAAAGACTTGTGATAATAGAATTCTAAAAACTGGCTTCATGAATAATTGTAAAAGTGGCACTCAAGTATTTATTTTAATGGATACACCTCAAAAGCAAAGACATTAAATACACATAATGCATGACTTACTATACTAAGCCTGTATGATTAATAATGAGAAGTGTAATAATGAAATAAAAGTTTAGTTACACAAGCTTTTAAATGCCAAATGATTTTTACATTTCTTATTTTAATGAAAGGTGAATAGGTAAGAAGACATTTTGGATTGGAGTTTGCTGCAAGCACATTCAAAGCTGAACTTCAGTTTTGCTGATGTGTAAACAATTATATAATACTTTCTTTTTTACTCAAAGTAAAATCATAATTGTTCACATTTTAAAATATGAGAAACAATAAGGTTTCCTCTAAATATATTTAGTAATTATTTTTTAAGTGTATGTGTAAGCCATGAATACAAAATAAGTTTAGAAATATAAATCTTAAGAAAAAAATTAAAATCACACTGTTTAGAAGGAATTATAAATAAAAATTAGAGAACTGAATCAAAAATGTAGATAGACATCTTGAGCACCTGAAACAATGAAAAATTAGCAACAAAACAGATTGTTGTAAATTGACAAAAATGAGTGGAATGTCACATTGTATAATAATAAAAACAGGACAAAATATTGCATGCTGGGAGTTATCGCAGATATTTGTACAACAAGAGTTGTAAATGTATTAAAACGGAAAGACAGCCATAAAATTTAACCGGAGTATTGCCATTTGATTTTAGACAGTAAACAAACATCACCTGAACTTGAGGTCATGTTTTAAAAACAAGAGCAGATCCAAATTACCAAACAACAAAACAGATATTCCAACACAACGTTAGAAATTGAATGTTAAAATACGTATAGAAGAAAGACTGCTGCACACACTAATAAAATACATCTAAAATCTCAGATTTCTCACTCATTCAATCAATGCTTATACTTCTTACAACAACAGCAAAGAACATTACAACAAACAACCAAACCCAATGAGCAAATTGATCGGCTTATTAATGTCTGAACAACGACTAATGGGAAAATCCATGTTTATAAAATTGCTTAAAAGGCCTAAATGAACCTTTAAAAATGTATAATATATTTATATATTTACAAAGTCTTCAAAAATGACTTGTCCTGTACAAAATAATTCAAATGATAAATGCAAGATAAATTGCAATTTAAATGATAAAAGTAAATGGGATTTCACCCAATTTTAATTATTTTTTTTAAATCACTTAACATTTTAGAACACATTGTGTACAAAAATTTAAAATCATGATTTTTACAAATCTGTTTCATAAAAAATGTTTAAAAAAAAGATATCCAAATTCCAAAAAGTAGGGTATCTAAAAAAATTTAACAAATTTGTTATATTTAGTTTATATGTTGGCCTACTTCATTTTCTGGGTAAAAAAAAAACTTTGATAAAATGCTACTTCAGACATATACTGTTAAAAAATTAAATCCTTAATTTTATTTTAAACGTCTCAACATTATGTACAACTTTGTTTATGAAAGGCTTTATCCTGCATATGGTGCAAGATTTTATTGAATATTAATTCTTCAAGTAATTTTTAACATAAGAGTTTGAATCTAATAGGTACATAATGAGGTGTTGAAAAACAAAATTCTATCACACTCATAATGCAAGCGTTCTGTAAAATAAACAGCCCCCATTCCCTACATACACACATGAAACACAACAGTGTCAAATATATATTAAATTTTCTGGCTGTCACACAAAGTAGCAGGTGGAAAAGAATTCAGAAACAGTGCTGTTGCCACACATCTCAAAAAGGATTGATATTACTTCTTTTAGCTTCTATACAAATACGCATTTGGCTAATCAAATTTAAATCATGTAATAGCCCGCAAGGAAAGCATCTACAAACAATAGTGAGTATTTTCTCTATGAACGCAACATAGAAATGCAATAACTTTAAAATAAAGGACACCACTACATTCAATTATCAGCTTATCTTTCATTCCAACATAAGAGAATTTTTAATCGGTATCCACTTTTACGTGTTAAGTGCATTGGAAAACAATTCCACCCTTTCATTCTTTACTGACACCAGATTCATATGCACCTGTTGACTTCAGAGTTGAGCACAAGATTGCAGCAACTTGTCAATTGTAACGCAATCATAAATTAAATACATTTTGGAATTACAGCTCAATAAAACTGAACAAGATGGTATATTTTACCTCAAAAACAACATGAGGTAGTTAACTGACAGGAAGTCTTGATGTGTGGTGCATAGAATTTTGTATCACAATTGAGCAAATCACAATTACTACATAAATTTTGCGGCTTAGGGATGTATTATAGATATGATCACGAATTACTAGGATTGTACATATATTTTGCAACATGCTTAATTTAAACTTGACGTAAAAAATCTGCAAGCGTTCCCTAACTGTAGTGTCAAGCTTTTCAAATCGGTGAACCAAGCTTATTGAGGAAATTAAAACTGTACGTAGAACAACATAGAAAGGGCACTTGTGGCCTGCAGGAAGTCACTTTTCATCTCAACTTCTGGAAAATAAATTGTGAAAATGCTTGATAAAGCACTGCAATAACGGTACATTGTTAACGTGTGACAAATGCAAGACAACTTACCCTCTGTGGATTTCAACAAAAATATGATTAGTTCAAAATACTAACCCTGAAGTCAACTGACGAAAATGAGTCAGCGAATAAAAAATATCTTGAATCCTGAAAAAAAAAACTGAACGGCACCTTGCCTACAACTGCTTGCAGCAAAATTATAATGGCCTGCAATAAATTGTGTGCATAAAATCACAACATTTGCACAACACCATAAGAACAATACCTTCAGAATTGAAGAGATGAGTAGTAATCCAAAAGTCTAATGTCTGCGGCTACTGCTGTAATCACGTTCACGGTCAGTTCTCTCTCTTTCAGTGCGTTCTCGTTCGACTCGTTCCCTGTCTGCTCTCTCTCTGTCACTGCGCTCACGTTCTACTCGTTCACGATCAGATCGCTCCCTTTCTGATCGTTCCCTGTCTCTTTCACCTCCCCTATCGCTTCTTTCACTTCTTTCCCTCTCTCTTTCTCTTTCACGTCGATCCTCATAATGACGCTCTCGTTCTCTGTCTCTTTCTCTGGAGCGTTCTCTGTATTCCCTTGGATCTCGTTCTCTGCTTCGTGATCTGTGTCGAGATCGCTTCTCCATCCTTTCTCTTTCCCTATCTCTATCTCTGGACCTGGATCGTCTACTGCTCCTAAAGGACACAACATTACTATTTTCAAATCTTTACATAAATATTTTTAATAGCACAAATGGTCCTAAATATGCAACATGTAAAACCTTATGTGCAAGTAGCATTTTGATAAAAAACAAATATTTATACCTAGATCCATATGATTTCTCTTCAATGCCATGCAATGTATCCTGTAGAGAGCTGATTAAGATTTTACAGCGATCATCTGATGCTATCTTAGACTGTTTTATTAGTGAGATTGCTGTGACTAATGTTTCTATAGCACTTGGGAAGTCCCCTGTGAGGGAAAAAAAGGATTTAGAAATGCATTAGAGAAATAATTATCTGCTGAAATTACTAACATCAATGAACAATTACTTTTAGTTGAATAAATATTCCATTTCAATTCCTAATTTCTGATCAATATATTACCAGAGCTGGCATCTTGTACTGCTCTATTTATAGCACTGCTAGAAACAGTCTTGTTTCGTTGGAAAATTTCTTCAAATTCTTGGTCACTTAACTGTGGTGGTGGTGGCTCATGTCTATAAATAGGAAGGATATATATATTATAAGAATGTTTGTAAACTTTAATGAAACTTAATAGATATGTTTGACTTTTAAATTACTATAATTATAATAAAATATTTCATACAATAAAATGTTAAAACTTTATGGACACTATCCAGATTATTTTGACAAAATTATGATAGTACTTAACTTTTGTTATTTAAAATGGACAATGTTATAACAAAGAATGAAAAGATTTTATTTATTTGTTTTATATATATATTAAAACCACAGGGATGCCACTCTTTTTGTAAGCAAATCCTGAAATTCAATCCCCCAAACTATACTGATCTTGTAACCTATTATGAATATTCTGGAGGCCACGGAAATTCCTGAGTGTAGCTCAAATAAAAATAAAAACATAATTTTTCCATCACTTTTCAATAAAAAAAATTTGTCATGCTTAAGATAATGGATATGTTCAGTGAAGCAGCATACAATGTTTAACAATCTAATTTACGCTTTTAAGGATTGTATATTTGATTAAAATATGTACCCATCCCCCTAATCCTAGACTAACAACCTCATTGAACATTATAACCATAACTAGACCAACTCCCTTATATTACTTGAAGTTTCTAGAAACCTTCCACCCTTCTCCAACAAGCAACAATACAAACGCCTTGTACTATTGACCAAATGCAATATTGTTTCAGTTAGCCATGCTGAAATTGGTAAAACTTTCTAAAATCTAGTTTACACAGATAAAGAGTTATTTCCTTAACCTCTTTTACAGTGGTCACATGTATACTATACACAGCTTGAAAAAAAAATTCACCAAAAGTTAATTTTATCAGAACGTGTATACTGTGCATGAACAACAATTAAAAATGTTCCTTGTTTGCAATGATGAATAATGTAAAAGTTATTGAACTACTCGTGTTCTGAAAATATATATGCTCTTATCTAGGTTTTTTAAAAAGCTATTTTCTACTTATTTATTCTATTTATTTAACTCTCTAAGGCCGTTATGACACTGCATGCCATACCATAACTACGTTCCCTGTGCCCAATAGCATTTTCCTATTTAATTTGTTGTTTTGCCGAATTTAAGTTTTAATCATAATCTAGGTTATAATGTTAGGGCTGCCATTTTTAGTTGTGTTTACTTCTTGTAGTTTTCCCGTTTAATTGATTTTGTATTTTATAGAATCTTTTTTTAAAACCACTTACAAATTGGCATTTTTTTTTAAACACTGCAGAATCCTATTCAGGATCCGTGGCTTAACTATTTTTGTCGAAGCATTATTAAATTAAACAAATCTAATGTATTTATTCCAATACCATGCTGTCCATGGTTTTTTTTTTTGGTAGAAAAATGGACATTCATTTTTTGTGAATAAGAACTATTGAGAAAAAGAGCTATCCTTTCAACAAATAAGTAAGCTGTAACTACCACACAGATCTCTAGCTTAATGCCTATGAGTGATGAGCTTTATAAAAACTGCAAAGAAAATTATCAATTTTTTTTTTATATAGAAACTACAGAAACAACTGAGCTAACAATTTTCTTTGCAGTAAGGTGTATTTGAGATGTGAAGTGCTTTACATTTCACTAGGAGGGGGATAAAATCACTGCAGTAAAATCTGGATTATGAGAAATCTGTTAGACAACATAACATAGCATACTAAAACTTATTTTAGTATCAACAAGAGCAAAGTACAACTGCATTCAAGCACAATCCAGGTCACTGAATAAATTATTTAGTTTCTACAGGCAGTGATGCATATAAAATTTTAGTCCTAAAAAAGGAACTAAAATACTAAAAATCTTTAGTACAGAGATGACTGTACTCTAACATCAAATTTTAGGTTAAATGCCAACTTTGATTAGACCAAACATCAGTATAGAAATTAAAGTAGCGTGAAGTAATGCCAATGTTGAATAACACTAGGCTAGACCTATAAGTTTATTGACTACTTTATAGTTCAAATTGTACATCTATATGTGCATGTAAGGGAGAAAGCAAAATAAGCTGTAATAATACTACATCCTTGATAATAAAAAGGCTTTCAGAGTGCCAAATTTCTTAAGTTTTAACTGCCTGGATTTTTTAGCTGCAAACCCGGGATTTTTTGCTAAACAGGAAACTTTAAAAAATGATAATTCTCAAACCTAGAAATTCAGAACAACCCTGAATAGTGGCAACCCTGATTATATATGACTTAAATCCAAAATCACAACACAAATATTTTTCATATTTAAAAGAATGATCTAAGCCAGTTTAAAAATATATTAGAAAAAATAATTTAACAGTGAAGAGTTTCTTATTAACAAAATGTAACAAAAATCTACACACTCCCTCCCAAATTAAACTGAAACAAAAATCTTCCAAGAATTATTGAAATCCAACCTGATTGGTGTTTTTCTGATGTCGGAACGTGAAGGCCTAAAGGTGGATAATTTTTAAGCAATAAGCGGGTTTAAAACAATTAATAACAACTAACTGAATTATGCTAAAAGGCGAGCCCAATCAAAAAGAAAGAATCAAATACCTATCAGGTGGAGGTCTGGCATATGGATTTTCAGCATATGCTGCAGTGGGGGGTGGTCTTCCATATGGATCAGGTGGTGGATGTGTTGCCTAAAAGCAAATCATTTATTAAGTCAAGAGACTGGCTAAAAGCTTTACTAAATAATACTCAGTGAATAAGCCTTTACTAATAAAATGTGAATTATCATAAATAAAACAGTCCATAACTGATACTTACAGTTGGTGGTGGTCCTGCTAATGTGGGGGGGAAGAAAGGGTTATGTCCAGGAGGAGGTACATGACCAGGTGGAGGAGCTGAAGTTACTTGTGGCATATTTGGAGGGGGTATGCCTACAGGGGGAAAATGTTTGACATTTCAGACATGAGGGTATAAACTTAATGAAATTTTTTTTACTGAAACCTGAATTAAAATACAAAAAGTAGAAAAACATTTTAGTTAAATAAGCCAAGTTTGTTTTTAAAAAACCCCACCTGGTCCTGCAATGTGAGGAGGTCTCAATCCAGGTGGTGGTACCGGCTGAGGTGGAAGAGGACCAGTTGGAGGGTAGGTTGCTGAAAAATTGAAGCAGTTAAAATAGTTTGATCAGCGTAATATAGTAAAAAGTAGAAAATCGTATCTTGACCCATCTTTGTGAGAAAACAAAATTTAAAGCAATAAATTATTTTTAAAGTTTTAAGAAAACATTTTATTTTTTTTAGTTTTGAGAAATCCACCTTCATACAGTTAAATCATACTTCTCAATTGATAAATTTAATTCTGAAATAGGCCTAAATTAAGCCATAAGGTTTAGATTGCTATTCAAATAATGCTGTAAAAATTTGTTTCAACGCAAAGCAGTAGGCCTATTTAATACAAATTATGTACTTAATTTAGTCAGTTTTAATGATTATTAATTTGATTTATATCTAATTACTTCAAAAACATGCCCCTTTTTATAAAAAAAAAAAAGCCAAAATACAACAACTTAAAAGATTTGAAAACTAGCAGGAAATTTATTCAGAACCTATGCAAAACAAAACCATAACCAAATAAAGCACTTTAACCTAGATTGTTTAATTTACATTTAACTTCTATTCTACAGCCACAGTTTAAACCACAAAAACAAGAGATTTAAAGTACACAACATTACTGCTCAGTGAATACTGATTTGATGAATAATCATGTGTACACATTTGAGCTTCAACAAAAAGCTGATCACTAACTTGACCAGTTTTTAAATGATCTTATTAGGAATTATAAAGACAAAACAAGAGTACAAACCACCAGTTTAAACAAAAATTAGCCATCACAATTTAGCAATAAAGGAAAAAGTCATAAAAACTTACTGCCTGGTGGCGGTGGTTGGGCTTAAATTTGAAAATTGAAGTGTAACAATGTTTACACTGCAATTTAACTACTATAATATGCACTAATTACATCATCCTTAGGACACACAGCTCTTCACAAATAAGCTGCACTGTTTGCATATTAAAATGTTTCACTATATGTGACAAATAAGTTACAACAATCACCAGCTATTTTTTCTTTAAAGAAATTGCAACCATTAGTGAAAATAAGTCCTCAAAATAGTAACCCTTGTAGCCATTTTTTTTACCATTCTATGGGAGGTGATTTTTTTTTAAAGTGCTCTTTCCGTAAGCCAAAATTTAAATTGGCCTTTGTAACAAAAATATTTTGCAAACATATTTTAAACAATTTTCAACATTAAAATCATGTTACTGCTTTTTATCTAGTAGTTAGTTAATAAAGGATGTTTGCAAAAAAAAATTTTTTAAATAATTTATAAAACAATTAGCTTAAAAAATAAGGCTATAACCAGCTGGAAAACAATACAGGTACATTTAACAAACCTAGCAGTACTGGTGATGGGCCACCAAGAAAGTCCTTGTTCATTGGGGGCCCACCTGGCTTAGGGGGCCTCCCTGTGAACAAGTAAAAGTTTATATAAATACACCTAGGCCAACATAATGCTGTTCAAAAATGGGTGGAACATGCATCCAACATGTTGGTACCTCCTCAGATTATTTTCAGTATTGGGGAAATAAAAATCGCTACATATATAGAAGAATACTGAACTGAAAATCTGAATCAAATATCACAACCATGTAATGAGACTCAACAAACTACACATATACACTAAGGATTTTAGACAGACCAATAGTTCACCTTACAATAAATCAAGTGCCCGCAAGCACTTTAAACTAAAAGGGATACCAAGCAAAAAAAATAAATAAATAAACAATTTTAAATCTCTTACTGCTCATTTTTAAACAGCTTATAAAACTTAGTGTATTTTGTAAATAAAAGTTTGTTTAGTTAAAACAAGCTACTACACAATCTTCAATCTTTTTAATCTGAATTAATACCCCAAAAAATGGTTTAAATAATGTCTATGAATTAACTTACCAGGCCCAGAAGGTCGTTCCCAATCTGATCTCATGGGTGGTGGAGCTCTTGTATCCAAAGGAGGTGGTGGCCCTCGCAAATGTGGGGGTGGCATTCCCATTCTGGGTGGCTGCAAAACAGTAAATAAAAACAGCGTATTTTGAGTGAACAAGTCCTATTAAAAGCCACATCCAGACATGCCTACCCCGTAGTGATAGAAAAAAGTAAGTCATACATAAAAAGAAATTGAAGCAAAAAAGGGGAAGTTATGCAGAAAAAAATTAAATTAAAAAAAAAAAAACACTTACATCAAAACACGGTAGACACTAATAGATGGACAGTTTTAGAACATGGTTATATAGTATATTTAGTGAATATCTCAGCTACCTCTGTAAATTATTTAATTTTAGCTAATATTTATTTTTAACTACTTAGAACATTTTTTGGTATTACCTCCTAGTGTTATAAATGAAAAATTGTCTTAAAATACTGCCTAACCCTAATATACCTCCATATTTAATTTAATGAAGAGTTTAAGATAAATACCAAAAAGAACATTACTTTGGTATTACCTCCTTGCTTTAAAAATGAAGTTGTCTTAAACTACTGGCCCCCCCCCCGATCTCGGCCGTTGAATTTTTTTAACATTGTCAAGTAAATGGAAATGAATGTCGACATAATCATACTTTCCCCACTCTCTTTTCCAACTAGATAAATAATTTTTTTTTTTTAATTTTGCATTTTTAGTAATAATAAAATGTAGCAGAACAAATTTCAACCAAAGACTGGTGGAACAAGACATGATTTAATGAAATTTAGCAGGACTATTCGGCCACTGGTAGGCATGTATGCACCACATTATAGTTGCAACCAGGGGTTATCAAACAAAATTTACAAAATATTTGGTTTAACTAAAATTATCTGTTTATGTACCTCTTAGAGAAGAGTAATAACACTCACATTCATGAACTAAAAACCCAGATATAACCAGTAATTTGTGTTATTTAAAATATAAAAATGTACAACAAAGAATTAGTGTGTAAATTATCAGGGCATTTAAACAGACCATAAAGGGGGCGGTGTGGCATATTAGTAGAGTGCTAGACCCCCCAGCTCTGATGTTCCTAACTCATGTTAGGGAGAGTGAAGGTGGCTGGGTATAGTGCTTACCACACTATCCCTTCATATGCAGAAGTAACCGAAACAGGTAAACTCTACCTAACTTGCCCTATGGATGGTCAGTTTTGAAAAGGGAACTTAACTTCTACTTAAACAGAACATTACTGACAGTCTGTACACATATGTAATGCAAAAAAACCTCACTATTTTCTAGTGTATAAAATAGGAATTATGGGCTGTCAATAATGTAAATTGGACAATACCTCAAGCCGTGGTGGTGGCCCTCTATTGCCTGGAGGACCTTGTTGACCAGGTCGTGGAGGCATTGGGGGCATTCCTGGAGGCGGTCCTGTTACAGGTGGTAGAGTTCCAGGTGGTGCAGTTGACAAATAGTCTGTGCAGGCTCTAACCAGCTCTGTTAAGAACATTTGTTTCTCAAATAACGAAAGCACAACATACTCCATATCAGGAATATGGTAGTACACTTTTAGTAAAGCCTTACACATGTTAGATTCTAATAGTGCTACAAATATTTTAAAGAAAATGAACCATATAGCAAATAAATAAATAACTTACGAGCAAAATTCAATGGGCCAGCTCCTCTTGTTGGAGGTCCAGTAACTTGTGGTGGACCAGGTCTAAGTGGAGGAGGTCCGCTTAGACGTGGTGGAAAACCTGGTGCTCCCTGTTGTGGTCCTGGTGGGGGTCCACGTTTGTCTAAAATATAAATAAGTATTTAAGTTTTTTTATTTAAAAACAGCTAATTTGATCTTGCAATAAATGATTGTTCTATGCAAAACAGTAGGCTGGAGCTTAAAATAATCCTTTAAATTACCATTTCTAAAGTTCCCATTTGGTGTTGAATCTCTTCCTGGTGGCCCACGTTCATCTCTACGATCCGCATCTCCAGGGCCACCTCCGCCTGTTTTACGAGCCTGTGCTTCAAACTGATTTAATGCTTGTTTGGTGAAGTGGCTAACTTGTGGTATTTGGCCATGGAGTTCTTTGCGTGGTAGTCTGTCAAAAATGGTGCGAGATGACTGCTCTGAGCCAACAATTATCAAAGCAAACCTGTTGAACAATTAAATAGAATAAGGTTAGTTTATTTGAAAAATTGATAGATTTTAAAAGAATATTAAGATAGTGAGAAATACATTTACACACCTTAATAAATAAATAAAACAAGATTTTTCATTATGCTTATTTGAGTATTTTGATCTCAGACAATCATTCTAAAAGTATTTACTTACACTAATAAAACTGCATATTATAGTCATGAAACACTTAAAAGATGAAAACATTCCCAACCCTGTTATTATCTAAAAAAAAATAGCAGCAGAAACAATATTTTTAAAAACAATAACTAACCCTTTTGATTGTCCATTGGCTCTGTTTTCATAAAATTTAATTTCTAATAAATCTGATACACCAATTGAGCTCATTGCATCAGTTAGGTCTTGATCTGTTGTCCACTGTATAAAATATAATCTTTCAGAGTTACAAAGTCATAGAATATAGATTGTAGTGCGATCAAAGAATTTTTTTCAAAATATATCAACAATTCTGTTCAAATTAGTAGGGCTAAAGTTCTTTGCATATTGCAATACTTAGGCCTATAGGCCTAATTAAAAAATGAATAGAAAATTTACCCATGTTAAGTTGCCTATATACAGCATATGTTTTTTCCCTGTATGTGCTGATGCTGAAGCAGTAGATGGCATGGATGTGCTGTTAGACCTAGAGGGAGTCTTACTTCCAGAGCGATCCATTGGCTACAAAGAAAAATTTCATGTAGATCATACACGTTTCAATTCTAAAGGCCTATATAACTAAAAAAACCTCATGCATTAAGCCAAATTAATAAAGAGTAAAACCGCTTAAAAATAATACTGAAAAGCTATACCTCAGCACTGGAACGTGTAGATGAAGCTGTGATAACATCATCATACAGATCTCCACCTCCACCAAAATCTGCATCCTAAAAATATGTAACGATGGCATTAATAATAGTAGGTTTAGCATTTAGGTGATGATCCGAAAAATTAATTAGCAGAAAAATATTGGCAATTTTCCTTCATTGGAAACGGGAGGATTATTTTTAGGCCGATTCTAGTCGGAATAAGATACGCATGCGATACGCATGCGCAATGGAGAGAAACGACGACTTGCCTTAGCGGCGATGTTTTCTATAGTACTGCGCATGCGTGTGTTTACAACCGCAGAACCCTAATACCAACCCTAATCCTATCCTTAACCCTATCCCTAATCCTATTCCTAACCCTAATCCTATCCCTAACCCTAGCCCTAATCCTATCCCTAACCCTATCCCTAATCCTACCCCTAACCCTCATTCTAGCCCTAACCATAGCCATAGGTCACTTCGCATGCGCAGAACTATCTTTTGCCGAAAAATCTTATTCCGAGTAGACACTTCGTTATTTTTAACATGGTGGAATTTAGGCCTAGATCTACATCTCGAAAGTTTGATTCATAATTCCTATGTGATGCAAAGAAACATTGAGATTGAAAATGTGTAGGCTGAGATGTACAATGGACAGGAAAGAAAAAAACGAAGTGACTACTCTGAAGATTTTTCTCCACAGTCTGCAAAAGATAGCTCTGCGCATGCGCAGTGACCTATGGCTAGGGTTAGGATTAGGGTTGGTGTTAGGGTTCTGCGGTACCATCGAAAACATCGCTGCGATGGCAAGTCGGAGTTTCTCTCCATTGCGCATGCATATCTTTTTCCGGCTAGCATCAGCCAAGAAAAAAAGCAGGCAGCGTTGAAATCTCAGTCTAAATAAAATATTTTGGCCATTTCTAAATCTAAGGCATTCTAATGTCTGAGTTCATATTTTTCATAAAGAAAATGTGGCTAATAAAAAAAAAAATTTAAATTTTAGACAGGCTGTGTGCAACAAGGAAATTTTTATGTCATAGTTTAAGATATCGGTAAAATCTTAGTTTAGCGTCGTAAATTCGGCCAAAACTAGTAATGTAGGAGAGAGTGCAATAATGAATATGTCATTAAATATGAGTATATTTTCGTATATTTTGATAAATAATTATAAATAATTGAATAATAGATCACCATTTATGGTTAAATCAATTTAAATATCCTGAAATTAATTTTTATCAACCCTGTTCGAGATAGTAAATTTGCTATTAAAAACAGCAGCCATCTTAAGAAAATGTTATTTAGAGTAGCTTCCCTTTCATTTCTATTCGTATGAAAATGTATTTAAATATGATTGTCTTGTTGTATAGTCCGTATAACAAAGCATTTTTTTTTTAAATTCTGCTCTTTAAAAACTGAATGTCCTAAGAAACAACTTTATTAATTCTAGAAGCATTGTGAGATGCAACTTGTATCCATGTTTTAAATCACGTTTTTTTTCTTTCTAATGTTTATTTGATCTTACTATTACTATAGCCTATAGTTTGAGTTTTTTCTTATTGTTTGAATGTTCACTATTTTCATTTCAGGTTTTTCTTTTCATCAGTTAGATCTAGTGATTCTATCGTAACTTATGACATTTTTTTTACTTCTCTTTACCTTAATTAAACCCCAACCTCCGTCATATTTTTGTTGTCAATGTCACAACAAGTCATAAGGGGGCATCCATAAATGACGTCACACTCGTAGGGGGGAGGGGGGTCCGTAATTTTGTGACGATGTGTGATGAGGGGGGGGGGGGGTTCAGATGTTGCGACGTCACATTTTTGCATTATAAAAAAGCAATGTTAGAAAACGAATTTTAGACGTTATTTCGCGTTTTAGATAACTGTTTTAATAAATTGTAATAGTTTAGACAAGATTTTGGAAAAATATCGATGTTTTTAAAAAATTCAACTGCAATTTTGAGGGGGGTTGTAGGTTGAGGTGTGACGTCATTTTAGGGGGGGGGGTCTGGCTTTTTGTGACGGAGGGGAGGGGGGGGGAAAGGTAAAAATCGTCAAAAAAGCTTGATGTCATTTATGGATGACCCCTAATGTAAAAATTACGCTTTGCTCTGCCTTATCTAAGATCTCTAGCCATAATTTTGACAACAATAAATGTTCGTCATCATTTATATATACAGAGAGACAAAATGTATCATCCACCAGCTTCCCTCACAAAACATCATCTAAAATAATCAGCCACTCCACCCCTTAAGTGCGTGTTGTCATTATGGTCGATCGCAAGTCTCCACCTGTCAGACACATTTTGGTTATCCTTTGTTGTCAAAATGTCAATATCAAGTACCCAAGTGAGTGATATGGGGTTGTCCATAAATGATGTCACATATGATTTGCTACGGGAGTGAGTGAAGATTTGTGACGTCAACTCAGGCGGCTTTGCAATTTATGACGTGTCGGTCTCATGAAAGGAGGTGAACGGGGAAAAATACCTATGTGGTTGATGGAGAACCTCTATAATGCTTTGTTCAATCAAAATAACGATAAATAAGCATTAGTATACGTATACCTTGCTTAAAACGAATTATCATAGCAAGTCTGCTAGTTTAAGACATTTGGCAAAACGGCCTTAACTTAACACATTATCCCCGTCAAAAAGGCTTGCCACCAAATGCCTGCCGACGAATAAGCCGCGTCTAATGCGGGGCGTTAAGAATACGGCCATTAGCATGGGCCGCGTTAGAGCACCAGTAGGCTATCGCGCTTTGTAAGATGACGTAAATACTTAAATTCAATTTCGCTAAACTGCGCAAAAATTTAGTAATGTTCCATCGTTTGAGGAAATTTATTTTCTTGGACTTAAATTGAAATATCATGTTGACTGTCTGGCTCATAATTTCCGAATATCACTTTTAATGTATCAAGATTCAGAACTATAATTTACTTTAATATAAGTGTCATCTTATCGTTTATTGTGCTTTTTATAAAGCGCAGAGCAGCTACAAAATCGGCCGGCCATCCTGTTTTCACCAAGCTTCTTTTGGAGCTTAATATGGGTAGTCTAGTTCTATACGGTGTGAGCTTAATACATTTTTAAAGGGCCGAAAGTCTCAAGACAGCAAGCTTGCAGAAATAACTACGCACGTTTAAATGGACGAGTGATAGATGTGAACACCAACTTATGTAATCAAACTAAACGTCGCAAAAGCGTAAAAAAGGCAGTGCTTGTTGTTTTTTTTTCTATAAAATTAGCCTTACGGTCGGCGGTACCGCTACATGACGTCACGTGCGAGCGTTAACTCGGTGACGATGAGCTAAGTGGGGGAATGAAAAAGTTAGGGTTCAAGAAATGCGACTCGGCAAGCTTTTTACATTTCTTGACCCTTCTTAATAGTTCTTTCGTCCCCACTGAGAAAATGGATCACCAATGAATGACGCGTCATACTTCTACAGCTGGTCTTTCTCCCACAACCATCCCGTTTTCACGAAAAAAAAACCCTGACCCGTCTCCAAAATCACATCGCTGAGTTCTGCTCAACCTCTCCCCACCACAAATCACAATTTCTATATGAAACAATATGTTCATATGTTTGCTCTGTAATAATGCACGCTGTCATTACTATCTTAAGAACGACGTCATTTATGAGCGATCTAATATTGATTTGCTTACTGCAAATAAAGTGTTCAAAAGTTCGACCTCCCAACAATTGTTGTGGTCTTGGATGCACACTATTAAGTCTGATAAGGTCTATTAGTCATTCATGTCAACTATATTAAAAAAAAAAGAAAAATTACTATACAGGGGGTCATCCATAAATGATGTCACGCTTTTTTTGACGATTTTTACCCCCCCCCCCTCCCCTCCGTCACACGTAGTCACAAAAAGCCAGACCCCCCCCTAAAATGACGTCACACCTCAGCCTACAACCCCCCCCCCCCTTCAAAATTGCAGTTGAATTGTTTTTAAACAGCTATATTTTTCCAAAATCTTGTCTGAACTCTGTCAAAATAGAGTATTTTAATCAATTGTTATTACAATGTATTAAAACAGTTTTTTAAAACGCAAAATAACGTCTAAAATTCATTTTGTATCATTGCTTTTTTAAAATGCAAAAGTGTGACGTCGCACCATCTGAACCCCTGCCCCTCATCACACAACATCACAAAATTACGGACCCCCCTCCCCCCTACGAGTGTGACGTCATTTATGGACGACCCCCGGCATATATTAAAACAATACAAAACAATCATATTAAACTTTAAACCACAAAATCAACACAAAAGACATGCGAATAGACAATTTATTGTTTTTAAAACATGGCCGCTGCTTGTATTTACTCATTGTTGTCTCGAACGGGGTAGTTTAAAGTTTATTCCAGGATATTTATGACTGGTTTGGTCTTGGATTGTGATTTGTTATTCAATTATCTGTTATATTATGTAAAATATGACATAAATATGGCCAAATGAAAGAAATATTCATTAGTTACCTTCATCGCACATTACTAGCTACGTTGGAATTTACGACGCTAAACTAAGATTTTACCAAGATATCTATAGAAATGCTTATTTTCCACGAATTATCTCTCATTCATCTAGAATCTAAATCTAGACTTTAGAATCTGTTGTAAGAGTGTAAAGTCACTAAAGTGTAGAATAGTGTAGATCTAGATCTAGATCTAAGTCGTTAAAATTCACTGCTGGCAGGGAAGAAGAAGGCAACATGAAAGAAAATCCACGCTCCATGTCGATGCACACCGAAATTACCTAAAAATCGATTCAGATTGATAAACTAAACTCTTTAAAATGCAAAAAGAATTTCGTAGACAAGAAAAAGGTATATAAATTAAGATATACAATGAGAATAAGTTAATTACTTGGCTGAATTCATCCTCAATATTATCATACAAATCAATGTCGACGCCGTCCGCCATTTTTAGCTAAATTGATTTGTGGACCAGTGTTGCCAGATTTTTTTGTGATGGCCTTGATAAAAACAGACCAACAAATCGACTCTAAACACAGCCAAGCCAACAATTTTAACTGCATCTCAAACAGTCTAGTAGCCTAGACCATCAGCAAATAGGCCTACTTGCTCTGACCTAGGCAGTATTAAAAAATAAAATCTGTCTTTTTTACAAATTTAATATTTAGCCTTGGTCACATTGATAACCTTTTCATTTAGTTTTGACACATTTCTGAAAGAGCAATATCTTTACACCAACCCCTCCCGATAATTTTCATTACACCGTGGTGTCTTTTTTTAGGAGGATTATCAGGCTTAAAATTGTTTGGTATCGTCTTCTTTGCGATAGTGGAACTGCAGGCTGTAAATCGTTTCTTTGTCATGATGTAATCTTCATTTCCGATGTTTTCGTAAGCTATGTACTGCTATAAAAAATATCACTTTTGGGGATGTCGCCAACCCCAGATCTGTGTCCAGATCTTCTCTCTGCAACTGATCAAACCACATAGAGTATAATTTGTCGAGTCGAGTTACGCTCTATTATTATTTCTGTTCTACTTGAGGTTTCTACATCAGTACCGTATGTCTGTTGGTGAGTGACAATAATTAAGGCTAAGCGTCAATCAGGTAAGCACTGCCATATTCTCACATTTAATTTTTAAAGAACCCAACAGGCAACTCGATGACCAGCAGATTGGAACATTTTGCTAATGCTGTCAGTTTTAATAATACTATTAGGCCCAGGGGTTATACATTTATGACGTCCACAAAGAGGGGGGGGGTCCGAAAAAATCGACGTCCACATGTTGAACTTATTGTCGAAGTACTAACATTTTAAAACAAACATAAAGCTCGTATCCTGCATGAAAAAAGTGAAATTAAGACGACGTAGCCACGTAGCTCGTGTTAAATAAAGACACTTCTAGATTCCACTTTTGATATTTACGCCTGATAATAAACACTAGCTGCATCCCGTGCTCCGCCACGGTAAATCTTTTTTAAATGTACCAACTTTGGAACAGAACAAAACTAAACACAACACAATCGAACGCAAGAAAAAAACAACAAACGAAAAAACAAACACAACACTCAAAACATAAACGCAATTTAAATGTAATCATAAAATAAATTCATGCATTTTTTTCAGTACTTTTTAAAATTCACAATAAAGTTTCATGACTAAAACCATTGCGCACCTAATGAACGTGATGAATTAATATAGTAATGGAGAATAGTTGATTAAAAATTATAATTAGTAAACAGTACATTCAGTGAATAAAATAAATAAAAGATAGCCTTTTCAATCAATGCTAATTATAATATTCCAACAATTATTCCGTCTTGCAGATTTTGCATTCACATTTTTAGCGTGAGTTCAATTTATTTTTAAAATACCTCCCTTGGCAAAATTACTAAACAGTTTAATTGAATTTTTCTACCGAACTGTTATTATGTTATTAAAATGTATCCACTTTTTCTGGGAATATAAACGAAAATGATATTTGACATTGATCTTTTTAATATGTTTTAGCTATGTGTGTGTATTTAATATTTTCTTTACGTTATGCAAAAAAGAAAAAACAGTGGCAATTATAAAATAGCTCTATGTCGTTATATAAACAAACCATACTCGATTTACTTATAATAAGACACTGCGGTGCACTGAAAAGCACAGCATGGTGCGATGTTTTCTTTTATGGTTTCAAAATCTATAGCGATGACAGAAGGACTGACACACGCTCAGCCCGCTTATATTATAGACTAGCTGCATCCCGTGCTCCGCCACGGTAAATCTTTTTTAAATGTACCAACTTTGGAACAGAACAAAGCAAACAAAAACAACACAAACACAAAAAACACAACCACAAACGCAACACAACCACAACACAACCACAACACAACCACAACAAAACTACAACACAACCACAACACAACCAAAAAACAACCACAACACAACCACAACACAACCACAACACAACCACAACACAAACACAAACAAAACACAACCACAACACAACCACAACTACAACACAACCACAACAAAAACACAACCACAACACAGCCACAACACAACACAACCACAACACAACCAAAAATCAAACACAACACAACCACAACACAACCAAAAAACAACCACAATACAACCACAACACAACCACAACACAACCACAACACAACCAAAAAACAACCACAACACAACCAAAAAAAAACACAACCACAACATTAGAATCACCACCAAACAACACGCTTATTTAGGCGTCCGCGCCCAAAGAGAGCCTTTCCAACATTAAAAATTTAAGTCACATAAATAGATCCTACTCCATAACTTACAATAAGACAATGCTATGCAAATGAATGTACGGCAAGCGGTGTTTACTTTTATGGTTCTAAGAAAACACATTGGCAATGTAATTAGAATTACCACCGAAAAACACGCTTTTCCCAGGCGTCCGCGCCCAGAGAGAGTCTTTCCAGCATTCTCTATAGGCCTACTATAATTATAAAATTTCACCATCTGTTAACACCAAAAAACAAAAACAAAAAATAGTGATTTTGAGAAATCATAGACTAATTAGAAAATAATATAAATAATCTTAACATTTTTCTCTTTTAATTATGAACCTTAACATAGACTAATCAATGCGGTAGTAATAAAAAAAAGATTAACTTAAATTATTGTTGAGTTAAATATATTTTCAAATTACCTCCCTTGAAAAAATTACCACAAAAAAAGTGGAATTAATTAGCTTTTTCGACCTACTTTTATGGAAATGTATCAATTTTTTCTAGGAATATAAACTAAAATGATATTTGACATTGATCTTTTTAATATGTTTTAGCAATGTGCAAATATTTAATATTTTCATAACGTTATGCAAAAAAGTAAACACAGTGGCATTTATAAAATAGCTCTATGCCGTTATATAAACGAATCCTACTCTATTTCTTATAATAAGACACTGCGGTGCACTGAAATGCACAGCATGGTGCGATGCTTACTTTTATGGTTCCAAAATCTATAGCGATGACGGAAGGAAGGAAGGACTGACACACTACCTAGCCGCTTATATTATAGATTATCGAAAATACTCAGTTGTTAGGTACACAATACATGTTATTGAAATAGTAAAATTGGTAGTAAGTTTTGTGGGATCTACTAAATTTGTGTGGACGTCCTACATGGGGGGGGGGAGGGTCGTCGAAAGTGGACAGGGGGAGGGGGGTCTAAAACCCGAAATTTCTATTGACGTCATACATGAATGACCCCCAGTGGCGTAGCGAGGTCGGGTGTCACCCGGTGCGGCACTTAATGGTGTCACCCCCCAGAGGCGTAGCGACCCTTCCCGTGGACAAAGTTTCAATTTTTTTTATTTTTCACCCCCCCCCCCTCAAGTTTTCGATTTGCACCCCCCCCCCCCCTCAAACTTTCGATTTGCACACCCCCCCCTCAAGTTTTTCTCTATATATTTTGCTATTTTTTGCCGTGGTGTCACCCCCCCCCCCCCAAAATGGTGTCACCCGGTGCGGTCCGCACCCCCTCCCCTCGCTACGCCTCTGATGACCCCTTATCTTGGCTTTCAGTACACAGTGTCTAGCTTTTGACTTCTTTGCATTTTATTGACGAATACAATAAGACTGGAAGCTTGGTAACAATTATTTAATGACCTCCTTAACTGGCTCATTGCAACATTCCTCGATTATATTATCATTATATCTCACTTTGTCTTATACTATGTAATATTATTTCTTTATTCCATTTTGTTAATGCTATGTTACTGCTATGTAACATGATGAACAATTGGGATGCTTTCTCTAATCGAGGTTTATGAATGAGGGGTGCGTCCATGTGGTACCCATGGAAAGAAGACACAGGGGGGAAACTATCAAAATATAACGCGATCTCCATCGTATAGGAGTAGATATAAAAGTGCGCGCCTCTTTTGTGTGCCGGCCGATTCAGTTTAAAGGCAATTGTTTTATGTGATCTATTTTCCAATACGACGTAAGCCCTTTTCTAATCGCATTCATCAGTGACATCAAATCTATCATCTTCCCCCCCCCCCCCCTCTCCACACACACACCAAGTCGCACGTATAGACACTATCATGCCTGCTAACACTTTAGGCCTACTAGGCTACTAGGCCTATAATTGTTTCAAGCGTCTCAGCTTGTCCAAATGAGGTCATCGTGGCTACATGTTTTTACTTTAAAGGCTTAAAGGTGCACACGATAACGGTCGATATTAATTGTTATGTCCCTTTTTTTAAATTTTTTTTAATATTTAGTTCGCGATATATTTAGTGTATCACTAGTATCAGTGTTTCTTTAATACTTTTTTTCTTGGGGGGGGGGGGGGGTGATTAAATTAAATTTTCCGGGGGGGGGGGGAGCGCGCTTCGGACACAGGTAAAAGCATATATTTTGTATATAAATTCTATTTCGTTCGGGGGGTGGGGGAGAAAAGATGCCTGAAAGAAACACTATTAATTAGATTATGGTTAAAGTAAAGTTCCCCTTCCTAACCTGACGGTCTATGGGACAAGTGAAGTAGAGTTCACCTGTTTCTGTGACCTCGGCATATGAAGAGATAGTGTAGTCAGCACTATGTCCAGCCGCCTTTACTTTCCCTAACATGAGTTAGGTACTCAGATTATGATTACTAACCCTAAAATCCCAGGCAGGTGATGCGGATGGTAAACCATCTATAAGAGAAAACTCTAAAATCAAACAACTGTTGTCTTTACACTCTTTGAATTATTAGATTAATGTTCAAAAATTTTATTTGATCTAAAATCAAGTTTATTATATACCTCCTTGTTTTATGTCTATACAATATTTTAAAAATTTGGAGCAACTTAAAGTTAAATTCCTTAGGTGAGCTAATTTAGGTCTATGAGTTCAAACTTGAGTTTCTTTTGCCACCAACCTGACGTAATAGACCGAAAAATTAAAGTATAGAACATATTATATAGCCTAACAAACCATAATTATACCCCCCCCCCCCCCCCGGATGTTTCAAATGCTCTCTTCACACGGAACAAATGTCTGAAAGAATCCCTGATCTTCACATATAGCCCAACGGTATAAAACATCACACACATAGTTTTAGCCAACTGCCTATAAGTAATTGTCCTCGTCTGAATATTTTCCCGTCGGTTGTGCTTTAATTATTCTATGTTGCATCCAAGGGCGTAGTCAGGGAAGCGCGGGTGGGGCGGAAGCCACGGGCGCCGACACTATGGGGGGGGGGCGCCAAACGGGGTAGGGAAAAAAATAGCTTATTCTGGTCTGAAGTACTAAATTAATAATTATACATAGCCAAAGTTTTAAAAAAAATAGACTACTGCTATGCGTGGCAGACTGATTTAACTGTGACAACAAAATCAAAACGGTTAAGTGACTGTGACTTAAAACAATGGGGTGTGTACCTTTTCGTGAATAACTGTATACAAATAGGCGGGAGCGCAAAACTGACAGTTCGCTTTGGCTGGTCCCTACGTTGTCTGGATATAACACATGACAGAGGTGTGTTTTAAAGCATGTGTTAGGCTACTAATTACAATAAGAACATTATTTTTAAAGGCGACTAGAAGTGACTGTTGTTTATCAGCAACATCATTACCCGTCACCAACCAAATATCTTCAGAGCCCTCTGTCCTGTGCCATCTTCTCAACCTTACCGGTGGAGCCCATCTTTGTTTTTCAGTCTCAACATCCTGTCTCCAGGTGTTTTTGGCCAACCTTTTTTACGCTTTTGACTGTTCTTCGATCACCCACAAATCATGCGATTTTGAATTTGATTATTTTTAGGTTAGGGGCGCAATTGAGACTCTCGGGAGCACCCACACTACACCCACGAAAGATGCCTGAAACACTGCTAGTGGACTGATGTGATCACAATGACGACATGTGTGGTGTGTTTTTCCTAAACATAACTGAAACTAAAGCCGATTAGACCACAGCGAGAAGTCACTTAAAAAGAATTATCTGTTTATTGGCAGATGTTCTATCAAGTAGTCAAGTAGGCTACAATACACTAGCTATCTCTTATCGTAAAAACGACCATTTTACAATATAATTGACGAATTGAAGACCAGCCCCTGAGCGTTTATTGTTCAAACGCTGAAAGAGGACAAATGTACTGTAGGCTGGGTTCTAAAGATGAGACGATTGGTTGAAGTATAAATAAATACTGAAGAAAGGCTGTGTGCTTGTTTACTTCTGTGTCTTTCCTCGTTTGTTGTTAACGTTGCTATAAAAAGCGGTGGGAATAAATCTATATTTAGATCTAGTCTAGTAATATGTTTAGTGTAGTTACTCCGAGCTGGTAAAATGTATTTGTTTACACGAGCGGCGGAAGGATATCCGACCAAAAGCCGTAGAACGATTCATAATAATCATAACTTTTCTAACACACGTGTGCGCAACCTTACAGGAGCGCAGTGTTGAAGACTCGAGTCTACCTGTTGTCCCAGAAATTAATCTTTCACTATCACCTGACTATCAGAAAAAAAAAATTGTTTAGCCTCAAGTACGTGGCCATACATTGACAGGTGTGCATAAATAGTTGCTGAGTTTTTGTATAATTTTATTCAACTGGTGATTAACACTACAGCAGACAACCATATTTATATTAATTTATAATGACTACATCACATCTCAGCCTACAACCTCCATTAAGTTTTTTTTTTTTTAAATATTGTCTAACTTCTAAGCTCGGTCAAAAAAGTATTTAAAATTCTAATCAATTTCTATAAGGCCTAGGCCCAATGGCGTAGCGAGGGGGGGGGGGTGCGGACCGCACCGGGTGACACCAAGGCAAAAAATAGCAAAATATATAGAGAAAAATGATAATTCCGATTTAATTAAGTGATTAATTCGAGTGTTAAATAGTCTTTTAAGAGGTGCAAATAGAAAGTTGGGGGGGGGGGGGGGGTGCAAATCGAAAGTTTGGGAGTGAGGGTACAAATCGAAAATTTGTCCCCGGGAAGATAGCTACGCCTCTGGGGAGTGCCGCACCGGGTAACACCCGATCTCGCTAGGCCACTGCCTAGGCCTACAAGTTATGTAAACTGTTTTCTTTAATACACGAAATAACGGCTAATATTCGATTTTTAACATTACTTTAGTGAAAATGCCCCGCCCGCTCCATAACAACTAATATGGATCATGGATGACCCCCCCCCCCTTATAAAAAATATAATTTGGGTGGTTAGAGTAACTTAGAGGTAAGATAAATTTGAAACCACATCAATGCACGCAAAATGTAACAGCCTGTTTGAAAGCTAAAAATGTTTATTTACCCCCCTCCCGCCTACGTAAATTCCGATAGTTTCTCCACTGTGAAAGTACTCCATTTGAAGCACAAGCCAAAATTCAGTAAAGGGCCAGTAGCAGGCCTGCAGACAGATGTGACACGCTTGTGTTGATGAATGTTTACACAAGCTCACTGCTGCTATATCTGGACTAGAGCAATGCAAACACATCATGCCAGTCCTTTTACTTTTAACAGTTTTACTTCAGATTATATCATTTAAAATCTAATAATTATTAGAACTTTTAATTAATGTTATTCATTGATGTGCTAAATAATGTTAGTACAATAAAGCAAATGCATAGTTCCCACAATAAAAAACTGTCCATTAGTAAAAAAGAGTTCTTGTTTCTGTGATCTAGTTGATCTAGGCCTAACCATCTGAGCTGGGTGGACTTAGGATTTGAACCCAAGACCTTAGGGTTAGCAGTCGTGCTCTACTATCCAACCAAATGGTCCCCAACTGTAGGAGTATAATACACTTTAAAAAAAAAAAGCCAGTACAACAAGTTATTAGTCATTAGATAACCTGTACTGTAACTGTAAGTAACTCAAAAAAGCTCATCATTATAGGAATCCATGAAGTTTCTTTAAAAACAAACAGTATGGTACAAAACAAGAGATTTAAAAAAAAAACCAACAAAGCTATGCAGTTATGCAGCAACATTAACACATTTATTTCTTAACACAGCAAGGTGTGTATAACAATTAACATGAAAAACAACTGCAAAAAAATTAAAACAAATCCCAACAACCATGTTCATTAAAGTACAGTAACAGGAAGGGTTGGTATTACAATGGTGCTCAACATGAATTAAAATGAAACAGATGCATTCTGTTTAATTCAATGACATCTGTAAGTTGATGCAGTGATGAAGATGATAAAATGGACAGTTGGTAAAGTATCCATAGCTGCCCACCTCAAGTGACTGATTTCAAAACAAATAGTCATCAGCCATTGAGAATCAAATCGCTATTCAGTAATCAGTTCCACATAAAAACCTTTTCATCATTTGGTTGAGCTGAAATTATAAAGAACAATTGAAAGATAAAAAAAGTATATAAATAAAATGATTAACAAAACAGTATGTGCTTTACAATAAATCAATCTTTGTTCCTGATATGTTATGCAATTAGGTAAAGTATTTAATTCATATTACTAAAACGATTAAATAAAACTTGATTGTGTTTGCTGTGTATAAATTTTTGAAGATCTGACATATTTTTGGAAGATAGTATTTAATTTTAAAATATTTGTTTTACAACACAGAAAGCATCATGTGATAATGAATTTAAATGCTGCAGAACAAAATATTAACAAAATGGGGGGGGGGGGGGGGGGGGCTAGCTAAAGATAATACATTCTCAGCTTTTTATAACACTGATTTTATTAAATGTAAAATGAAATTTTACATTTAATAAAATCAGTGTCTTAGTCTTAGGTTTTCAGTTTGAGTTTTAAACAAAATATTTAAATAATTCTGTTCAGAAGACAAAATGTACAAAAACCAATTTTGATCCCACTGTCAGCTTACTAGATCTAGGTCAAAGCTATTAATTCAACACCCAACACACCTTTAACTGTTTTAAAAGTGATCAGTGACTCTTAAATTATCTGCCCTTTATTATATTGTGTCTGTGGTAGTGACTGGTTGCAACCACTTTGGTTATCTCCCTTTCTTATTGAATAGGTATAAAAATAAAATCATTTAATTTTTAATGGCTAATTTAATATCTAATTCTAGTTAGATCTAGATCTAGATCTAAATTGAAAATGAGATACTCTTGCATTGTTAATTTAATAATTTGTTATTGATATGAATTTATCTGGAGATAATAAGCTGCATGTTAAAAATAGTAATCACTCGCAGTTCAGTGACTAATACTACTAATTAAATCTAGATCTAGTAATTACTAATTAGCCTAGTAATATTAATTAAACATTAATTCAATAATTTAGATTAGTTAGATCTAGATTCTAGAATCAATAATCTGAATATAAAAAGATCAAATGTTTTTAATGTCTAGAGTATTCTCGAGTCTAGATTTCTCTCTAGAATCTAGATCTGTAGTTCTATAAATTCTACAGATAGATTTCTCTAGATCTAGAACTTTAACTTTTAGTTATAGATCTATTCTAGTTAATATTTCTTTGGCTTTGGTTAGGCCTATTACTATAATATTATAGTAATATTTATACTTTATTATATTATTATATACTAGATCTAGATATTACTATTAATTACTAGATCTAATTAGGGGCCTATTTAATTAATTATATTTATTTTTAAAAAATACTAAAAACAGTCAACTTACTAATAAATATGACCAGGCAGACATTATTTTTCTTTGCTTGCTTTCTTTTCTGCTTGTTTATGTGAGTTGTTTACAAGTTTCTGAACATCTTTTCTCGTGTGACCACTTGGATCTTCATGATGATGTTGCGCTGCTTCTTTTTTGGTCCTCCCCTTTCCACTGTGTGCATGGTTTTCGTATTTGTCTTGGTCAATGTTATATTTATCAAGTTGATCTAAATATTTTTCATCTGACATTTTGGAGCAAGATCCTTAATAACTACTCAAATAAGAAAGTGTAGTTTGCTCTGTAAACTCAGTTCTACTTTATAGATCTGGATTAGATATTGTAACAATGTCCGCTGTCCACGTTTAACGTTCACGAATGCTACGTCTTCTGCGCTGACAAACAGTAGGCCTAGGCCGATTACTAATGTTTTGATATCTTTCTAAAATGATTGGTTGGGCAGAGTTCAAAGGTAATACATTTGCATACAACTTTGTAACACAAAAAAGTAACATAAAAAGTACAACTGCTAATAACTGATTTTCAGCAATTTATTTGAGATGAAAAGTGCATTTTTGATCAAAGTTTATGCGTACAATTATTAATAAGCTTAAACATAAAAATAAAGCTGAATATTGGCTAAAATATTGTAGGCCTGGCTTGTGTTTAGCAAGACATAGGCCTAAACAAAATGATCAAGGTTAAGGTCAGTTAAAACTTCCATAATACAAGCGATGGTCTATTTCTGAGGTTTGCAATGGTTGTTTTTATTTTATTGATTTTCTACTCAAGGCTAATATTTTACTGATACTGTTAGAAAGAATATAGATCAATCATTAATGAATGTAATACGATGACATTGTAATCGCTGTGTTTATCGTAAGAAGTGTAGCGACTCATTATGAATAATGTTCCATCTAACTATAGCAGCCATTTTGAAATGAAATAATTTTTTTAAAATAATGGTTAGAATGACTAGATTCTAGAATCTAGATTTTCTAGAATCTGAGCATGGGTATACTACTGTAGGCCTATATAACCATAGAATAGATCTAGATGTAGAATCTAGATATAAAATATATTTCTGTGGTTTGTAAAAACAGTTGATGCAAATTATAATCTAGTTGGCATATTACGTCATTTACTTCTATAACAGTGCTGATTATCTAATCGAATATTCAAACGTAAAATCACCCGATACAAACTATAAATTAGTATAAATCTATAAAATTCGTAGATCTTGATCTAGATCGAGATTTATATAAGGCAAACTGTAATCTAAAGGGGAAAAAACTACAACTAGATCTAGAATCTAGAGTTAGATCTAAAATGCTAGAGGTCTAGATTCTAGATCTAAAATCTGATCTAGACTCTAGATCTCTATCTTTTGTCCCCTCCCCTACGTCACACATCGTCACAAAAAGCCAGACCCGCCCCTAATAATATGACGTCACACCTCAGCTTACAACCCCCCCCCCCCCTCAAAATAGTTGAATTTTTCTTAAAATACGATATTTTTCCAAAATCTTGTCTGAACTCTGTCGACTTAGTGTATTTTAATCAATTTCTATTACAATATATTAAAACAGTTTTCTAAAACGCGAAATGACGGCTAAAATTCGTTTTCTAACATTGCTTTTTTACAATGCAAAAGTGGGACGTCACAACTTCTGACCCCCCCACCACCACCACTCATCACATCCCGTCACTAAATTACGGAACCACCACCTTCCCCCTACGATTGTGACGTCATTTATGGACGACCCCATATCACGAGATAGACTCTAGTTCTTGATATTTAATTTATATCGGAAAGTAGGCTAGGCCTACCAAACCATCATTGGCGTTACAAAGGGATGATTGCCATGTTGGGGGTAGGAGGGGCGGGTGACACCATCAAATTCCAACTAGACAAAACTGGCTTGATTTAAGACTTCTGAATTTAGTACTCTAACTTTTATTTTAAAAAAAAGTGTTTTATAGTTATATTTTTTGAAATAGGTTATCAATAGTAGTATAGAGGTTACTAACACTTTTAAAAAATTATTACAGGAGATGTAACCTACGTCTTCAGAAATTTAAGTTACCTAACTTGCAAACAAAAAAAATTAGGTGCTAATTTGAAAGGAGGAGCTATAAAATGGAGGGTGAAGAGGAGGAAGAAGCAAATTCTCTACTTTCCCTCTCTCAAACATTTCTCCAGCCTGACAGTTCTTCCTCAATCACTCTCTCCAGTAACCATCTCCACAACTGGCCTGCCTCATCCTCTGGGGCTGTGGGTGATATTGTTGGTCAGTTTTCACCGGTCTCCCCAGCAGAAAACTACTCTAGTCAGGTTCTCAATGCCAATGAAAATTTTGATCGGTTCTACAACTGCAGGCCGTATTCCAGTGGTCAGTCTTCCTCTAAGAACTGCAACTTCAGCAGAAGTATGTCTGCTGGGATTTCAAATGATATGCATGAAAATTTTTCATCATCAACCAATCGAGTTGCAAGCAATGAATACACACATTTAGGAGGAATGAATAACCATGCAAGTTTGTATTGGGATTCAGTGGCAGGTCGGTGTGGGGAATCATATGGAACCAAAGATTCAGATAGCTCATTCAGAGCGGGAGGCAGCAATACCCATGTTCAGCCGCAGAGAGCTGATAAAACATCTTCAAGTGGTTTCAGTTATAATGATAACTACACAACTATTATGACTTTTAGTACAATATCAGAGAATGATGGGAAACTGGTGAGTTATGAATATTAATATACTACCGTTATAGGTTACTCAATTAGTTTCACAAGCATTATATTACTATTATTTTGTTACATTTTACAACTCTTTGTAAGTAATTTTTAATGTAAATTTACAATGAAACATTTTATAGCATTTGTAAATTTTTTGGCACAACTTTTTTGGCACAGCTTTTTTGGCTTATATTTCTTTATCACTTTCCTGTTAAACACATGTGTTTGTCAAATTGCTATTTTTTTTTAAATTATTAAAAAAACCCAAATTTATCTTGATTGTTCTATTAATAATTAACTAGATATAATTTTAAAATCGTCTCTATTAAAATTCCAACTTTTTGTGTGTGGTATATAGGACTTGTTTGATTCAAGAGGCAGGCAACATGAAAGTGAAAAAGAAAAGGTGAACCCTTATGATCAGAACAGTGGCAAAAGTGGAACGAAATCCACACAGCAGACAGATGTGACTTTATCACTCGACCGTAGACAAGCAGACAGTAATAATTTTGATAGTGACTTTGATTTTCCAGCCAATCCTCGCGACTTTACTCTTAGCTCCAGGTTAGATGGGGCGTCGACAAGTCGACTAAATCAGCAGTTAGAGTTTCACCAACCCCAGGTTGGGTTTGATAACCTGTGCCAACCCCACAAACTTGCATCAACACATTTAGTAGAAAGCAGTTCACAGTTTGTCAATGCTTCAATAATGACAGAGGGTAAAAGAATGCCGTCATCATCGTATAATATGGAATACGGCATAGAAAATCATAGTGACAGTGATTATTCTCGGTTAAGCACCTCCCAGAAAAAAACAAATTTTACTCATTCGTTTAATGAGATTCCCCCTGATCTAGAGCCAGTGTTTAATGATACACATTCTGATTTTGGAGGTCATCAGAAAATTCTTCAAGATGCAACTAGAAGTTATGATCAGAGTGATAAGGATGGTAGTAACATACAGATTAAAAGTCAAACCAATCAGAAAGAGCCTTCGGATAATAAATGGAGCAGTCGTCCTAGGGCCCACAGAAGAATAGCCCGCATTCTGGGAAGTGAGGAGTTAAAAAATTCTTTCCAAACCCAAGATCTTTCATCATCAAAAAAATTGTCTTTGCCCTATCCCAAGCCCATACCGGCTCTTGATTCAAACATGCAGAACAAAAACAAATACCACTCTACCATACACAGGGATGTGACTAATAGCTCTAGAAGTTTCCTTACCGTTGAGGAGGAGCTTGATTTAAGGACAACCCAGCATGATGACAGAAATTTCTTCAGGAGGGACGATAGCTTAAACCGACATTCCAGTTCCCAGAGAGACATAGGTTTCATGAGCCAGGCGACGTTTTCATTTGACTCAGCCTTGCCAAAAGAATCCATGTCTAACCTGCTGAACCAACAGTTCCTTACACCTTCACATCTTGACCTTGACTTTCACACATCGCTCTCCTCCATGTCTCAGCCACAGAAAGACACAGACATCAACCAGCAGTTTTCTCTTCAAGTTTCTAAAGACTTTGATATGGATGCTGCTCAGGGCACTGCCAACCAAGACGTTTTGGCATTTGACAACCCAAACTCCACCCACTTGAACCAGTCAGAGTTATCTTTACCTGACAACCTCGGGCTGGGGGCTCACGGACAACAAGATCTAAACCTTGAAGCATACTTTAACACTGCTACTGAACGTGACTTGTCCTTTGGGAGAAAATACTCTAACCAGAATCAAAGAGACGTCAGCTACGCTTCAAATTCTGACAATGATTTTAACATTGAAGATTACATGAACCCACAGAGTCAAAGAGATTTGGGCCCGTCGTACTTTGATAGAACAGAACTGCCACAGGATATGACGATGTATCAGAAACCTTTAACGGAGAAGTCTTTGATTCTTGAAACTGTTCAAGCACCAAAAGACAGAATAAAAAATACAGGTGACAAAGGTGAGATTTCTGAGCTTCAGAAAGAGCTGACAAAATCTACAACAAAAGAGAGCATGAAAGGGATTAGAACACCAAGGGATATCAACAGAGCCATGGAGATATTGCAGGGCCTGCAAGAAGATGAGAAAGAAGAGGAGAGGCGTAAAGAGCAAAAGCAAAGGCAGCAGATGCATCAGAGCGTTACAGTGGCTTCAAGTCCTAAAAAAACATTCCAGAACAAGCACATGGTTGAGAGAATGGGAATTATAGAGCAGCATTTGTTGGCACAGTCCCAGCAGTTTATAGATGAGCAGCCTGTGAGCTTGTTAGACCAGCCACAACTGCTGGCAGATCAACAGCAAGATAGCTTGCAGTTTATTGCCTATCCAACGTTTACAGCCATGCACCCGGATGAGATGGATATGGTCTCCACCCTACAGGGCAAGAGAGAGCCACAGCAAACAATGACACACAATTCTGCCAGTGTACATTATCAGAAAAGGCCAAAATTTTCTTCAAAGGATTCCACAAGTACACAGAACAGTACATATTTAAATCATTCATCAAGCCTCGCCTCCATGTTGGTAGGAAACTCTAATCAAGAGTCCTCCTCTCAGTTTTCCATGCCAATATACTTCCAAGATCAACAGCCAGACTTAGATATTACACCAGCCAAACCACAGAGCCACAGCATTGTGAAGGACTCCGTAAGACCAAAGAAGGATGGATCGTCATCTAATTTTGAAACTAGAGAAGCTGTAAATAAAAGTACTAGCTTGAGCATGCAGGTTTCTGAAGAATTTCGGCCGCCTATCAATACAAAACAAGGTGAAGAGCTGATGAATGCCTCACGTAAAAATCTTTACACTATGATGAAAAGGGAAGAGTTCTGTGATGCTGTTCTCTCTACTCCAAAACAAACAGTCAAGGTAAGTTGTAAAGTATTGTACAGGTTTCATACCATAGAAAATAAACACCACCAGCAAATATTGCACTTAGTTTTTGTTTGAATATAATACATCTGAATTCTATGAAATCAACAACATTTTAATAACATTTCTAGTCAATTTCTTTAACAAAATTTATTGCAAACTTAACTCCAATAACAGTCACTGTTATTAATATAAATATTACCTAAAGATTTATAAAAAGCTATTACTATCAGTAATTTTGATAAGCATGAGTCTTTTCAGATTTGGAGCAAGTCAAAATTATTACATATTTTTTTTTTACTTTGTAAACAAAAATTAAAGGTACACTATACAATTTTCAGGTCCACCAAGCTGTGCTTTGCTCCATGAGTCAGTACCTGGCCACTTTGTTGCTGAAGATGAAACCACAGATAGTGAGTGACTCCGCCACTGCACCCATGTCCCCAACTTCATGCTATTTCACCCACACCACCTCCAACCAAGGCGTCCTGCTTGTCATCAACTGTGATGACATCAAGCCTAGTTCTATGTCAGCGTTTTTGGTGTTTATTTACCTGGGAAAGGCAGAATTCAGTGAGAGCAATATAGAAGACCTGTACATGCTTGCTTGTAGTTTAAAAGTGACCTCCCTCAAAGATATGTGCAAGGAGTTCATGTGGGCTACGCAGATGTCAGAAAATGGCATCAAGATTCCTCAGCTGCTGGTGTTCAGTCACAGGTTTGAGACCAGAGATCAGTCCAGCATGGCAGACCTGGGCAGTGGGAGAGTGGTGGAAGACAAGGCAGTCAACACAGGTCCCCAGTACAAGTTCATGGAGGCGACCACTCAGACGGACAGAACCACAACTGAGGCCGGAGAAGGGGGGCAGGAGGAGTGGGTCATGTTGAAGAAGACGAAACAAAAAACGGTGTCGCCGTCAAAGTCTCGTTTAATGACGAAAGCCTTCACCAATTTAGATAGCCCGGCTAATCTGAAAGCTATAAAAAAAGGCTGGCTCTCTCCGAAACGGCGGTACAAAACTGAAAATCATTCAGATGATAAAATAAATCTTAAAACTGATTTACCATCTAACCATGGTGAGGAAGCAGTGTCTGCTTTTAATTCTAGCATTTATAAGAATACATCATTGTCTCTTTTAAGTGATTTCAATCAAACCAACCAGTCAGCACTGACTTCCTATGTACAAAGTCAGAGCCAAAAAGCAAATGAGGAACTCATTGTTCAAGAATCGGAAAATCCATTCCCGTCTTCGTCATCGGAGTCTTTACAAACTAAAATGAACCGGACGACAGTGGAAATAGCAGAAGCTGCTGCCGCGGCCAAAATGCTGGCACATTCATACGGGACGAGATTTGCCAGGGGGAACACAAAGCACCCGGTGTCTTATGCTGTACTTGCTACAGGCCAAGACAAGAAGAAGCACTCTCACCACAAAGAGAAGACAACTCTGTCTAAAAAGAAAGATTTCATCAAGTCTAACATTCCTGCTGAGTACGATGTGGAGACTTGTATGACCCCACAGACGCTCAATCCACCTGAGCATTTAATAAGCGCTCTGTCCTCTTCAGAGATCAAGTCTAGCACTCCAAGCAACGACAGCACACCAGAAAAACATGACACACGTACATTTGTTAAAAGACCTTTCAAGAAAAGTATTGTGCATAGAACACAGAGCGATGAAGTGTTAAGGAATGCTGCTAGCTGCGACAAAGACCCTTTTCTTGAAGTTAATCTATCTAACAACAAAACTGATCAAAGCTTAAGTAGCATTAATGAATACATCGACACCAGTGTGAGTAATGTAAGTACTTTAATAGACTCACTAGTCAACACCATGGGGGTAGATTTCCAAAAAGTCATCAGTGAATTAGACACAGAACTCAACCAATCGCCTCTACTGACTGTCACCTCAACATCTTCTGTTTCATCAACATCGCTGACATCACCTCTGAAATCACCCCAAACATCACAGTCAACATCAGAGATTTCAACCCCCGTTAGAAATAAATCAACACCTCAGGGGTTCAGGAAAAGACTGATTCACATGATGAACTCTGAGAATAATTCATTTTCACCAACTAAACTCCCATCACAAGAGAGCCCTGGAGTTCATTTAAAATTAGACCAGTCAGTGCATTCTACCTCAGCAGCTAATATTCTGCCCAAGTGTGAAATGAGTCCACTAGTTAAACACACTTCCAACTTTATGGACAATTTACCTGAAGAGTGCAGCACTGGTATAGCTTCAGAAAATGTCATGAAATGTGAACTTGCTCATTCCCATGAATCTGCTATTGTTTCAAACATTGAAGAACCTAACAAGGCCTCAAATACTACGACAGCATCAACAAATATTAGAGAGAAAGGTAACAATTATTTTTATGGTCTCTTCAGTTCCATTTCAGTTTCATCAAACTTAACTATTTTATAGCACTTATATTGAACAAGCTTTTCAAATTTTAAAGTTAAGTCCCCTTTCATCCAACAACAATGAGGAATTAGCAGTATTTCTTACTTTCTGGTGAACATTTTTATATATGCAGTTTTTTGTGTGTGTAGGGTTATCTTCCCCACCAGTTACCTTCTCCTCACTGACAGACCTTGACCTTGGGTTAAGAGATGAAGAGAGTCAACATTTTAATCACAAAATCTTTAAGAGAAAGAAAAAGGCCAAAGTTAAGTAAGTTATGCATGATATTTGGTATGGAATTAAAAAAACAGATAAGAGAGGGCAGTCAAGTTACAGCTGACTGAGCCATTTAATCTCAATATTAATCAACAACAGCATGTAATTTGATATGTTTAAACTAAATTAAGAAGAAATAATTTCAAGGATAAAGTAATTAATTCTAACTTTTTGTATAAAGATTTCTTGAATCAAGAAAAAAAAAATCACCATTTCTTTTTGTAAAAGATAATTTAGATGTATTTGACTCACAAACATTTTTCAGGAAAATACTGTCAACGGAAAATGAAAGTACTTCCATCAAAATGAAGCTAAAAAAATTTCATTCCACTGAGTCAGACGGCACATCCAAAGTCAGGCAAAGAAAAGCAACAGGAAGTGATACAGAAGGCAATGGGAACAAAGTGAAGCAAAAGAAATTCCTGTCTGGTGAAGCTGATGAGATAACCAAGGTGAGACCACCCCCGAAGAAAAGAGCCAAGATGGAACTTGAGCTACTCAAGGCTGCTAACAATGTGAATAAAGATGGTCAAAATGATGAAATCAGCAGCTCATTGGCTTTCACTGAAGATATAGCAGGCAGCAGTGAAAATAGTTGGACAAAGGCTATATCTGATGCAACAAGTAGTAAGGAAGAATTACAACAAGAGTCACCAACAGGCATATCAGACATAAACAAAGATAGTTCGGTAAAAAATCTGGACAAGCAAGTTGATGCAAAGGTAGGTTTAATTTTTAAAAATAAAATAAATATAAAATCCTTTTTAATAACAAACTTTTTGAAGGTACTAAAAATTAGAAACTAAAAATAATTTCTCTTTTGTTATAATAGTAAAAATTAAACCATTGGTTGCTCTAGAAATCTTGTAATACATTTTGTGAATGTTACTTTTTCTATTATTGGCTTCCAGTTTCTAATAGACATTAACATTGCAAAGTGAATATCAGCTCATCCGAATGAATTATCTCTACTAACTAGTTATCCCCCCTTTGTTAATGGATATTGTTATCTTTTAATTAATCTTTAAAATTAATTTGATATTTAGTTGTATTGAAATATATATTCTAGCATTGTCATTGGAAATGAACTTATATGGAATGTTTCATTAGGAATAAATAAAAATAAAGATTTAATAACAGACCCACAAAACAAATGAATGACATAATAAAAACTTATACTAGAAATATAATTCTTTTGTATTTGCTGTATTTGAATTACAAGCCTACTTATTAATCATAGGTCGACTTGATGCTTTTGTGCCAAGTAGTCTCTCCTGTTGAACTTTGATCTAAACTTCTTTTAATTTGTACTGATCCCAGCAACCAAAAAAACCAAAACCTAAAAAGGATAAGGATAAACGTGTCACAAAAGGCCAATCAAAACCTGTGAAAAGGATAAAAAAAGCAGATAAAGAATCATCAGACATCAGTGCAGAAGATGAAAGGATCATCCGTCTGCTGGAGGAGACGAAGAAAACCAGCAAACTGAAGTCACAATACAGCTGTAAGCTGTGCCAGACCAAGATAAGAAGTGCTAGGCGAGCTGTGAAACACATGCACCGGCATGGCCTTTCTGGTGAGAAGATTCTAGAAAACCTCAGCACTGGTGAGAGAGTGGAAGGATATGAGGTGAGATTTGTACATTTTTTCCTTCTTTCATTAATGATAAAATAAGAAATATGATTTTTGTGGTGAGAAGATTCTAGAAAACCTCAGCACTGGGGAGAGAGTGGAAGGATATGAGGTGAGATTTGTACATTTTTTCCTTCTTTCATTAATGATAAAATAAGAAATATGATTTTTGTGGTGAGAAGATTCTAGAAAACCTCAGCACTGGGGAGAGAGTGGAAGGATATGAGGTGAGATTTGTACATTTTTTCCTTCTTTCATTAATGATAAAATAAGAAATATGATTTTTGTGGTGAGAAGATTCTAGAAAACCTCAGCACTGGGGAGAGAGTGGAAGGATATGAGGTGAGATTTGTACATTTTTTCCTTCTTTCAATAATGATTAAAAAATAAATCATACGGTTTTTGTGGTGAGAATATGCTAGAAAACCTCAGCACTGGGGAGAGAGTGGAAGGATATGAGGTGAGATTTGTACATGTTTTCCTTCTTTCAATAATGATTAAAAAAGAAATCATATGGTTTTTCTGGTGAGAATATGATAGAAAACCTTAATACTGGGGGAAAAGTGAAAGGATATGAAGTGAGATTCTAAAAAATATATTTTGTTTCTAGCAAAAAGTTGTTTTAATTAATAATTTCACATACCTGTATTTAAAAAAAAATATTATTAAATTAAAAAATCTATTTTGGTTATGTATTTTGTTCACTTATTATATTAAACATCCTTAAGTTAAAATAACTTATTCTTAGAATTATATGTTAGAAACTCTAATTTTCATTAACTGCTTATATTTATATCAATTTTATATAAATTCATTTCATAAAACAAAAAGCAAAATTACTAGATTTTTCTATTTTTAGTATAGAGTAATGAAATTTAAACAATATTTTAATCAGGCCTGCAGTGAATGTGTTACAAAACCAAAGATGACAGCTACCACTACATGCACTAATTTGTAGTGTCTTTGTCTCTTTAGGCCTGAAGTGAATGTGGCTACAAAACCAAAGATGATAGCTACTATTACATGCACTAATTTGTAGTGTCTTTGTCCCTTCAGGCCTGCAGTGAATGTGGCTACAAAACCAAAGATGACAGCTACCATTACATGCACTACCACAAGTACTTCAAGCATGGCATTCCCCTCCCCCTGGGCTGGAGCACAGATAAGTGTGAGCTGTGTGGCAAAGAATGCTTTTCAAAGTTCCAGCTTAAAGATCATATGCAGACTCACAGTGATAGCAGTGCCTTTGTCTGTTGGCACTGTGGACAGGTGGGTTTGATTCGAATATTATACATGCAGGAATATCTTCCTAAATGGTACTGTTAATAGCATGGGCCGGAGTGGTCTAGCGGTAGAGTGCTGGACTGCTAACCCGTAAGTCTCGAGTTCGAATCCGGGTTCAAGTCAGTGGACCGTCCCTGAGTCCACCCAATTCTGATGGGTACCTAACTCACGTTAGGGAAAGTAAAGGCGGCTTGGCATAGTGCTGACCACACTATCTCTTCATATGCCGAGGTCACAGAAACAAGTGAACTCTACTTCACTTGCCCCATAGACCGTCAGGTTTGAAAGGGAAACTTTACTTTTACTGTTAATAGCAGGAAACTTAGCATCGTATTAGGTCTTTAGGGTATATGGAGTCAGTGGTGTCACTAGATCAGGTATCACATTGTGAAGTAACTCAGGCTGTCACTCTACAAATGACTTGCAATATCACTTTGGTGTCACCACCTCCCTGTCTTATTTTTAAAAAAAAATTACTGGATGGTATCTCCTAGTACTTGGAGCATGCCTTCTCTGTGATAGCAATTGAAAGGAATGTTAATCAGTTCATACCACTCTAGGGATAGGCTACTTAAGAGGCTTACTGAACAAATTAGAATCCAGCTTTTTTATATATTCATAAAAATTATACTTTTTCAACTTTTTTTCTGTAAAATATTCATTATTGATGCCATGCTATTCATTTACACATTTTTTAGGAAAATATATTTTAAAATTTTTTTTTGTAAAATATTCATTATTGATGACATTAACACATTTTTAAGGAAACTTTGTTTTAAAATTTCAGAGTTTTAAAGCAAGAAACAGCCTGAACAGCCATGTTTTTCACAAGCATTCGGATATTAGAAAACACCTGTGTAAAGCATGCGGCAAGTCTTTCAAAACCTGGACTCACCTGAAAGTTCATGTGAGATCTCATACAGGTAAACTCACCTCTGGCCTAACATATTTTTGTGTTTTTTTTTTACAAAATATGTTTGGCTGTTATAGGTTTATGGTTTCTAACCATTATTTGTATTGTTTCATATGTTAGGCAATACAAATATTCTGATCATTAAATGTATTGTTTAGTTTTCTAGGTTGTACCAAGTTTCTCATCATTGAATTTATTGTTTCATATCCTGTTCTGCTGCTGATAGTACATCTTAGCTCAGATGTTATTATTAGATACTAGAGAATAATGTGGCTATGTACTCATGATCTTTAGGTGAGCGACCGTACGTATGTGTAGAGTGCGATCATCGTAGTACAACAGGAGGGAACATGGCACTCCACCTGAGCACACATGGATATGCTAAGGATAAGATTCAAGAGATAATGGCTAAGGTAAGCAGTTTATACATCACATGATCAAATGTGCTCTTTCATTGTTTGATGGAGAGTAGGGAAGATGATAGTTGAGTGTATCTATATCTGTGGTAGTGGCATGTGAAGGAAGAGCGTAGTTGAGTGTATCTATATCTGTGGTAGTGGCACGTGAAGGAACAGAGTAGTTGAGTGTGTCTATATCTGTGGAAGTGGCACTTGAAGAAACAGCATAGTTGAGTGTATCTATATCTGTGGCAGTGGCATGTTAAGGAACAGCGTAGTTGAGTGATATAGCACATGGTAACTAACTCAAGTCCTGAGTTTGGTCATGAGCTTGAGTCTATAGCATGTCCCAAAGTCCATCCAGTTGTCATGGGTACATGATTCAATTCAAAGTAAACTCGACTGGGCATACTGGCAACTACAGAATCCCTTATCTTTATGAAGTTAAGGGAACAGATACAATCTACTTCTACTCCCTACTTTACTACCTATTATGGCATATAAAGTGAGTGTGTTACCTTACTTTGAATCAGTTAACTGTATGATCTTGTGTCAAATAACTAATTATCAACAGAATTTAAAGTCGATTGGGATATGTGAACATGAGCTATATCTTTGACCACATGATTTCAGTTGCAATAAAAAAAACTATTGTAATGAAGGTTTTAAACTCTTTGGTGTCACTGTAAAAACAATTTAATAAAAAGTCTAGTGACAATTTAAGCGCAATTTCCTTATGTTATCCATAACAATTTTTAATTTTTTGTGACCGAACGAAAGGATATTTTTTTGTGCTAAAAAAAAAAGACAACTATATTAACCTATATCAACGGAAATAGTTTTATTTTAACGAGTAGGCCTACACGATGCTCAGTTTTAAAAAAAATGTAGTAAAGATCATCCTAGGCCTACACGATGCTCAGTTTAAAAAAGTAGTATATATTTTTTTTTTGACCGAACGAAAGGATATTTTTGAAAACTTTCTTCGGCAATATTGTTCTAAATTATGGCAGGAATCGATTGGTAAATGTTTCAAGTCGCTAAGTGGTCTAGTTGCAGAGAGATGGGCCAAAAACTGCATTTTTTCGAGGTTTTTTGGCTTTTCCGGGAAATCCAGGAAGGAATTCCGGGAATTTTTTTGGCCCACAATCATCCTCGGAACTTGCTTAACATATTTGCTTTTGGAACTAGTCCTCAATATTGCTTCGTTGAGAGGAGAGTTGAGGAGGAGATACGTCTTAAAGCTGCGCTAAAAATGTTTATGTTTTTTTTGCCTCAGATCTGCCAAAATGTTACTGAAACAAGCCCTGAGGCCCTGGATAAGATTATGATTGAAATAGCTGAGAAGGTAATTTAACCCTTTGTTTACAGATGGTACTCTAAGCAACTATTTAATGTTACCTTACAGTGGCAAGAGGTATGTGTTTACTTTCTCAAAGCAAAAAAAAAATCGAGAGTTTTTAAAAAGTTGTCCCAATGAAACATGATATCAGAGGATTTATTTATACAAAAACAAATCTCTTGAAGTATTACGGTATGTAAAATGTGATTTGTTCTTAAATTTAAAGTTATTTAACTCTGTCAACAAATTATGTAAATTTGGTTATTTTCCTTGGTTTTAAAGACTAGAACTGTCATAAAAGTAATCTTAATTAGGTTATCCTACTTGATTTTAAAGACTAAAACTGTCATATAGAAAATCTAAAGTGGGTTACTCTCCTTGATTTTAAATACTACAACTATGTAACTGTCATATAGCAAATGTAAATTAAGTTCTTCTTTTTGCATTTATAACTATCCATCAGATTTAAAATATGATTAGATATATTCTGCATGAATTTCAACACTTGTAACCCTATTAGATAGGAAACATAAAGTCAGTTCAGTTACCCTCCCAAAATTTAGAGACATCGATTAAACAAAGATGACACCTGTCTAGATGTAACTATAAAAGCAGGGTTTGACCAGCATATTAGATCAGTCTGAATCAGTCTGATCTGAAGTAGATTTCAACTAGATCTTTGGAATATGAATGACTCTTTGAGAATAATGACGGTATAAAATTCTGAAGAAAATGAAATGGGGAAAAGTTTTGTGAACTTAAGTTATGATCAATTTATCATCATAAAAATAAATAAATTGAATTTTCTTATCTACTGCAATTAGCTAATAATCAAAAGCAACAAGAAAACATTTTTTTAATTATTATGTTATCACTATATTTTTTAATTGAAATAATTGACATGCTTTTTTAGGTTCAAGAAAAGAAACATAACATTGAAGAGAAAAAGCCTGTGAAGAGAAAGAAGGTTAAACAAGTGAAGGAAGAAATACAAATAAAAGAAGAAGGCAGGGTCCATGAAGACGGTCTGGTGCATGATGAGAGTGGGAAGAAGAAAAGGTCCAGAGTGCCCAAAGTGAAGACGAGGAAAGAAAATACCACCTACGTTGGTCCTGAGATTAAACGGTTGTTTAAGGAACCTTTGCACAAGTGGAAGCTTCCCAAGTTGACCATACCCCAGTTGACACAGCCAGCTAATGTTGGGGGGATGAGTGGCAGTTTTGTGTTGAGGGAGGAGAACGGGAGTTTACAGGTGAGTGGTTAGATGGTGGGGGAAGATTGTGGGTGAGTGGTTAGATGGTAGGTTTACAGATGAATGGTTAGGTTATTGGGTACAGTTTCAAGTGCCTGGTCAGGTGATAAGTTTACAGGTGAATGGTTGGAATATTGGATAAAGTTACAGATGATAGGGGATGGTTGTAATATAGTGGTCAGATTATGGAGAAAGTTTCAGGTGAGGATGGAATGTAAACTACTTGTTTCATGTTAAAAGGGAATGGATATATCCATGGAGTGAGCAACTAAAGCTTGAAAAATGTTTTCAAATCATCCAATCCGTCATTATCCACTTTTTAATTTCAATTTTTTTTTGTCTCCAGCTTACTCAGGCAAACTCAGAGGGAGACTCCAGCAGGTTTCTAGACATCAACACCCTCAACCTGATCCTTCAGCACCAAGGCCAAGGCCAGGATCAGACCTCCGCCTTCCTCATCCCCTTGTCCCAATGTGACCAGGCGTCGCAGCAAAAACAGCCAATCACCAGCATGTCCTCGTCTGTCATCACGTACACCGTAGTCCCAGCCATCATGCTGTCCAATCAGACTGGGGCGCAGGCGTCGGTGGACCACGCCAGCGCGCTGCCTGTGCTGTCGTCGGCCAGCATGGTCAACTCAGGGCTGACCACAATCCAGGCTGTGTCCCACCCCATCCAGCTGATGCAACAAGATCCAGGCTTCACCACTGAGGTCCATCTCAGCATCCCAAAGAATGAGCTGAATTCTGCGACTGAACAAGGTGCCGACAGTTTTATAAGTAAGTTGTGTTTACACATTTTATTACAATTTTATGTTTGTCTTCAAGTGAGGGATATAAGGCTTGATTCAGTTGTATTAAAATACTCAGATGTAATATCTGATAGGATTGGCATGGTTGTCTAGTAGAGGTTAGGTAGCTGTTGTTGGGGGTTGTAAAAGTAATGTTCCCTTTCAAACATGACAGTTTATGGGGCAAGTGAAGTATGAAGAGATAGTGTGGTCAGCACTATGCCCAGCCACCTTTACTCTCCCTAACGTGAGTTAGGTACCCATCAGAGTTGGGTGGACTCAGGGACGGTCTACTGACTTGAACCCGGATTCGAACTTGAGACTTACGGGTTAGCAGTCCAGCTCTCTACTGCTAGGCCACTCCGTCCCAGTCTTCCTTTATTACAGTGTTATAGAAGCTATAATAAAACCAACCTATAAAACAACATTTAAAAAATATTGTAAAGAATGAGACAGGTTATTGTTAACATTATCAGGAAACTGTTAAGACTTCTTTTTTTTAGCAAATAAGGTTAATTCTCTGCTTACTGCAGTAATGGCACTCTCTGAAACCTTAAAAATGACAGGTTACTCATTACTGAGATTATTTGTATGTAGTTGAGTATGTAACATATGTATGAGGATTTTCTGTAATAAATATTAAAAAGTACTAAATGATACTTATTAACAGGTGTCAGCCAGCAAAGGGAAGAAACTGATGGCTACCAAACAGCCATGAGCTCAGCAGACGCCAATGCTGGCTCCAGCATGATGATGGTGCTGCCCAGTATGACCTCCCAGCAATCTCTTCATGGCCAGGCACAGAACATTTTTAACTATGCTGACCTAATGACCTCAAGTCACCCTTTGCTACTTCAGTCAGGTAGTGCCATCCAACTCCATATTTTTCTTTTATAATGAACATCTTTTACTTAAGACTAATAGGTCTATAAAAAAAAAAATTAAAGCTCCCTTTTTAGACCTAAAGACCCATATGGCTAAATGAAGTAGAGTTCATATGTTTCTTGACTTCTGCATATGAAGGGATAGTGTGGTCAGTAGTATGTTGAGCCGCATTTAGACTACATAATTCTTTTGGTCACTTTTATTTATTTTTTTAATCTTTTGGTCACTTTTTTTTTTACAACTTCAGCATTAAGTTAAAATAATTAAGAAACATTAAGTTGAAATAATTTTGAAACATTAAGTTGAAATAATTTTGAAACATTAAGTTGAAATAATTTTGAAACATTAAGTTGAAATAACTATGAAGCATTAAGTTGAAATAATTTGAAGATCACATTTTTACTATTAAAAAAATAGTATATTGATCAGGTCTTAGTTAACAGTAATCTGCTTTGATTTTTTGTTTATAATCCGTGCAGCTCAGGATTAAAGAACCTAAATTTGATTGAAAAGTTTTTTATTTGTTCATTTTCAACTAACAAATTATTTTTTTTTCTGCTGTGTTTGAAAACTTGTATATTTTTATTTTGTATTCTTTTTCATGTGCTTCCTTAAATTTTTTTTTTTTTAATGAAATGAAAAATTGTGCATATTTTTCTGAATGAACACACTTTTTATTCCTCATCTTCTCTTAGGAAATTATGTTAATTTCAATGGATCTGAAGAAATTATCAATGTCCCACAGCAATGCTACACTCTGATTGCCCCCAAGCTGAATAACTCTATAGTTGAGATCTCTGAGTTACCTGGAGTTGTTACCCTTGAAGAACATTCCACACAGCAATGTGTTCCTGAGCAGTTTGTTGCAAGTGTGAAAGAGCAGTTAACTGTAGACCCTAAAGATGTGTCTACTAATGAAAATGATAAATCTTTGAAACATGTTTTAGCCATTGATTGCTGTGATAATGTGGATGCAAAATATGAAAATGTCAACCACAAAAGGAGTGAAACAAATTTGTGATAAAAGAAACGCAATTGATATTAATTTCTGAAATATTTTTTATGCAAGCCTCTTTTATGGTATTTTTATTGTTGCCATAACATTTTAAAACAAATATGCATATATTTTATAAATATTACATTCTTTCAACTCTTAATGAATACCTATTATTTTTGTATTGTATAATGTTGATTAAAACTAATTAGTTACTAATGAATATGAATGTATGCATATAGAAATGTAAATTTGTATAAATAATTATGAAACCATAAGGTTAACTTATTTTTTTGATTAAATTAATTATTGATGTTGTGAAGACAAAATGCTAAAATAAGAGTTGGCATGAATGTCTGCCACACTGCTCAAAGCTTAAAAATAGCAATACGTGATTGTAAAGTATGTTACATATTCAATGTAGAATTACAAATGGCAACTAATGAGTAATTTAATCTCAATCTGAACTCAGGGTTTTGTGATTAAAAGTATTTTGTATGTATTGATAGAGAGGTCACAGTGATCTTCTTCCATTCAACCAACCAATCAATCATCCCTTAACACTAAGGGTCACTGGGACACCACCTTTGATTTTTTTCAAAACTTTGCCATCTAAGAGGCGTAGCGAGGGGGGGGGGGCAGGGGGGGGGGAACATATGTCCCTGGGCGCAGACCTTAGGGGGCGCCAAAATGGGTTGGAGAAACATATCGAAAGTTCGAGGGGGGGGGGGGGGTGAAAATAGAAAGTTTGTCCCTGGGCGCTGGGAAGGGTCGCTACACCTCTGTGCCATCTGCCTCAAGGTGCAGGTACTACCCCTCTTTCCAGAGCCTTCTATACCCTAGACTTCAATTACATTCTAATTATAAATTGTGCAGGTACAGTTCTTTAAGAAAAAATTTCTATTTAAGGCACATAAAACAGTTTTATTTTGTTATAACATTTTCAGCCAAACAGAATAGTCATATATAGTCATTTATTCTAAATGACCTTTAACTCACAACTGCCCACTAAACTTGCATTGATATTTACAAAACAGATCTATTGACTTCAAATTAATTATTATGCTATCCTAAGAACAAGTGCACTCTACTTCATCTGCCCAGTGGACTGCTAGGGTTAAAAGTGTAACTTAAGAACAAGTGCAGACATTATAGTTTTTTATACATGAATCTATTTATTTATTGAAAAAGTGCTTGTATTTTTTGTGTAATAAAGTTTTAAAAGACAAAACTTCGAAGCTGAACTGTGTTTTCTTTGCTTTAAATTTAAATAAAGCAATGAAAATGTTTGCATTTAATAACAGCATAATTTATTTAAGACAATGTTTATTTTTGTAATAAAGTTTTTATAAAAAACAAAACCAGTCTTTTTAAAAATTATTCAACTGTTGTGGTAGCTTAATTGGTAGTAATACATTGATTGTTAAGTCTAATTAGTCGGTGCAACAAGTACCTGGTTTGTGTCTATGATGTTCAACCAAGGTTATTCTCTTCAGAAAGTATTTTTATATCTCAGTGTTTTTATAGTGAAAATAAAGCAACACAACACAGATAGAAGGACTAATCTGTTAGAAAAGATATCTCATTAACTGCTGAATATGAATAATTACAACCTTTAGAAAGATAAGTTAATGTAACTTAACTCAAGTTAATTTAATTTAAACAACCTTGCAAGGAAATTTTATCCTTCTTTAATTTAAAGAATTATTAACTAAAAATGAAAAAGAAATCAAAAGTAGTATTGAGATTTATTTCATCTTTATTGAAATACAATTTTAATATTACATTGCATGCTGTTAGTATTACAGGTAAAAACATACACATTTTTTGCTAAATAAAATTTAGAAAGGAGGCATTTTATTAATTTGTTTTGTTTTTAATTTGCAAACCTTTTCAATTGTAAAAAAAAATAAAAGAGCTTTAAAATGATTTTTAAACAAATACAAAGAATTTAAAAGTGGCAAACCACATAAAAGAATTCATTTTTTTAAGGAATAACATGCCATCAAAAGTGAAACACCCAAACATGTAATTTGTAAAACATGATCATATTAAAATACTAGAAGATAATGGCAAAACAATTTCTTTCATAATTTCTAAAACTCACTGGTGATCTTACGGTAACAAAACCTTTAATACAGAAAATAAAATGATATCAAATTATTCTCCTGTAATGCATTGCATTAGCTTAATTTTGAAATTAATTGTAAATTTTAAACTGAAAAGTATTGGTCATGGATTACTAAAACAAAAAAACCTCAATGGTTGTTATTTTATACAAAGTATTTTGCAACAACGTTTTGAGCTTAATACTGTTCAATAAAAATATTTAAACAATAAGGAAATGCATCACAATAAATTGCCTGCAATTAAACCAAGATATCTACATACGTCTATATATTTTACATCAATAGTAGGTTTAAAATAATGTTAAAAACAATGCCTAAAAGAAATGCATTTTAGCATAATTTATGAATTTACATTAGACATTTTGTAAAATGTAGTTTAACTTGCTAAACTAAATATAAATATTATTTTGCTTTCATTCCAAATTTGGCACATATGGAAATATTAACAAAAATTTTTCTTTGTTTGCTAGAAAATTGCAAAACAAAGATTGTATGTCTAAAACATATGGCTATTTAAAATTATTAAAAATAATAATATATCAGTGTAGGAATAGGAAAATACAAATAAAAATAACTACAGCTCCATAATCATCTGGAGGTGTGAAACATAAAATATTATTAAAGCATTTCCAAAAATAAAAGCAATCCTAAGCTTTTTACAACAAAGAATCAGCCTTAAGGTAACTGTTCAGTTCATGTTAAAACGGAAATAGTATAAATGTAATATTTGAGTGTCTAATGTGTCTTCCTATGACTAATATATATTTAAAAAATAGTTGTGATCATAATTTGAGTTTTAAAAATACAGATTCCAAAATAACATATATTACAAATTTTAAGATTATACTTAATTTCTTAATATGAGTTTTAAAATACAGATTCCAAAAAAAAAACACATATATTAGAAATAGTTTTTAGTATTTTTAAATGTTGAGTCCAATGAATGCAGATTAACAACATGAAGCACCATATTTCTAAACGCTTATAAAATAAAAATCCGTGAATATTTTTATTAAAATATATTTAAAAAAAACACATTCATCGCACAGATTTATTGTCCCTAATAAACATAGATGAACAAGCTAAGATCCAAAACTTTGTTAAACAGTCACACAAATTATTATCACATGTTCATGATCATAGAGAAAAGGGGTAGGCACATGGGTAGTTTATTATTATTTATCTTGTTATAATGTTTTGACTTTCTGTCACAAATAAATAAATAAGCAAACACCTGACCCAACAAAATAACAAAATAAACCAAGAACCAAACACCAATAACTTTACTTAGTTTATGTAAATAGTCCATTTCTATTAGCATACATTGCTATACTTAGTAGTGTTGTATAACTACTTTACTGCTGTTCAGTTTATAATTATAATATTGCATAGATGAGTTTGGCAAACAAAAATATACAAATCTTTTTAAAAACTAATTTTTCACTTAAAAATAAGAGAAGCAGAATCGAAACACTTATTATTTCATACTTTTATATTTGCCTTAGTAAAAAATTAATCTTAGCTGATTTTCATAAACATATTGTATGTTGTTTGTGATAATAGGCTTATGTCCCTTCAATTTATGTAAGAGCATTAAGTTGCATCTTGTCATTCTTAACAATAGATGCTATTTATTCCCCCTGCATATCTGTATTTGACATTTTTTTGTGGATATTATTTTTACAATTCTAATTTAATAAAATTTTAATCATTATATTTTAGTAAAAAAGAGAGAATTTTTTTTTTCAATAATAAAAAAAAAATGACTCCTAAAAAGTATTTTGACATATTTTTGTGGATGATATTTCTTTTTACAATTCTAATTAAAAATTTTAATCATTTTATTTTAGTAAAAAATGGAGGAAAAATATTTCAAACAATTAAAAAAACAACTCATAAAATGACCATTGTAAAGAAAACTATCCTAGAAAGATCATTTGATACTTAAGCCGTTTTTCTCCATTCTACAAAACCAAGTTTTCATTCAAAAATTTCACAATTGAATCATGGAAGAGCATGATGGTATCAGTTAGAAAAAAAATTAAATTTATAACACAAATATTGGCTAAACATACATCATTTGTTATAAGAAAACATGAAAATATTACATAATTATTTAATAATAATTATACATCATAGAATGTTCAAATTTAACTTAAAAAATAATTTACATCAAAGTTAACCAATGGCATATGTTTTGTAAAAGTTTACCAAATCCATTTACTTTTCAGTGGACTAGGTTTAGTTGTTAAAGCAATACACTGTCAGCAGTGACTGATGGTTTATTATAATTTAAAAGTAGATGTAGATCTACATTAGAAACACAAGGCCGAAGCTGGGTAAACAAAAATGGAAGTTTATTTTTGTTTCATTAATTTAGTTTTTTAATTTGTCAAACAATACATAAGAAAAAGCTTTAAAGAGTTTAAAAAACTTTAAGCTTAGAATTTTGATATATTACAATTTTAGTTCAAGTTACAAAAAAAAGTTAGAAAAAAACTTAGTTTGGAAAATTTGGATTCTACTGTACAACTTAGAAAAGTCACACCCTTTGATTACTTTGTACTCTCAATCCCTATTCCACCCTTAGTAAGAAAATAATCCCTTTGCGTAATATATGGTTTCTGTAATCAACTCTTTGTAATCCAGTTATAAATCTAGCCCTACCCATAAATTCATGGATAAACTCTAATACTTCTATATTGATTTTTAATATGAGCCTTAAAAATCAATGACAATTTTATTACTTTTATGTTTTTTTTTATTTCTTTTTTTTTTGCTTGTACATTATATTACAAAGAACTGAAGTCGAGTTTCGGTGACCTTGACACGTGAAGGGATAGCGTGGTCAGTTCTTTGCCCAGCTGCCTTTATTTTCACTATCGTCAGTCAGGTACCCATCGGAGCTTTGTGGATTCTAGCATCCGAACTTGAGACTTTCGGGTATGCAGTCATTCACTCTACCATCCAACCACATCGTCCCAATTAAGAACATTTATGTAAACATTATGTTGCATTCGTATTCATAAGCATTCTAATAATTTAAACGTGATAAGAATTTAGAATACTGAAGATAAAGATCAGTAATTTTACAAATTTTCGCTTGGAAGTTGAAGTAAAGAAAATGACATTAAATGTCACAGAGATTTTCTCACGTAGTATAATTTAAAATAAGTGTGATTTAAAATAAGGGTAATTTTAAAATCTATAACTTATGGACTAGCACAAAAGTGATGAGGGTAAATATCATCAGAAAAGATGTCTTGGGTGACGTGGATCCACTGCCTGTAAAAATAAAATGTGTAAGTTAGGTCAAAGGTTATTATCATCATGCTTCATTGTATCTCGTGGGGGGGGGGGGGGGGGGCAGACAGCCCAATAAGTAGAAACCCCACCTAGTAACGCCACTATATCATTGTGGTTCTATATTCAAGATTGTTAAAAAAAAACTTTTTATTTTTTTAGTTTTGTAGAATATTTTGTTAGCTTAACTGGCATAGTCACGACAGATGGTTGGGGTTTAACCCCTTATCCGCTCTGAGTCCCAAAAACAATAGCCAAAATTATATATATATATATATATATATATATATATATATATATATATATATATATATATATATATTAAAGGCGGAGACCGCACCAAATGAATATATCCACACATTTCTTAGAAAATGATAAAACTTTTAAATTAATAAGCTGAGTAGTAAATCTCATCCAACAAGTATAGAAGGTTATGTGTTTTCAGCTAGCCATTATTTTTTCCCTACATCGCAACATAAGCTAGAAATAGGTAGCATTCGTAATTAAAATGTTCATATTTAATTAAAAAAAAAAGAAAAATTACACATGCATGTGTTGAACATAAACCTTAAGTATAAAACTAAAAAAAAATGTTTAAAAATAAAGATAAAAATATTAAACATTAATTTAATTTAAACATCAAACTATGAACACACTTGTTTAATTTAAAACTTAAACAATAGATATATAGATGTGTTTAATTTAAAGAAAAAATATAGGCTACACATATTTGTTTATCAAAAATATTTAAAATAAACAACCATCTACACATTTGTTTAAATTAAGCATAAATCTGTTCACTTAAAATGTATTAAATTAAACAACCATCTAAACATTTGTTCAAATTAAACATAAAACTGTGCACTTAAATACTTAAAATATAAACCTATACATTATACATACATGTGTTTGGTCCGAAAAGTTTTTCGATTTCCCTGAAGACTGCCTCGTGATCCGGGTTGCCAGGTTTACAGTAATTTTGTTTGACTTTACGCACGCAGTTCTTTATCTCCTCCAGTTTGCTGAAGTATGGGGAGAAACATAACATTGAATCTAGGAGTGTAGGCATCGCAGGAGTTACTACCAGTATAAAAGTAAAGTTCCCTCTCAGAGTTTCTTCCAGGCATCTCTTCGGGGGGGGGGGGGGGGGGGGGGGGGAAGGGCCAAGCCCCCCCCCCCCGAAAAAATTCTACCGCCCCCCCCCCCCGAACGAAATGAAATTTATATAATTTATATAGAAAATATATACTTTTAACAGCGTCCGCCCCCCCCCCGAAAATTTCAAGTGCCCCCCCCCCTCCGGAGAAAAAAGAAACACTTTATTTTTTAAAATACAGCCAAGACTTTTTCAAATACTAGGAAAATATTGGATATATTATTAAAATACTCTATATCTACAATATAAGTGTATACGACATATATATTTATCTAAATACACTATACTTACATTTTATATTTCCTTGGACTGGACCATATCAAAATAACTCGCCCAATCCAAATACTGGTATTTCCATTAACCTAAACCACATTTTTTTCCAAACCTCACCTGCACAAAATGGTGGTATTCCCATCATCCCAACCTCACCGGCACAAAATGGTGGTATTCCCATCATCCCAACCTCACCGGCACAAAATGGTGGTATTCCCATCATCCCAACCCTACCGGCACAAAATGGTGGTATTCCCATCATCCCAACCTCACCTGCATAAAATGGTGGTAATCCCATCATCCCAACCTCACCTGCACAAAATGATGGTATTCCCATCATCCTAACCTCACCGGCACAAAATGGTGGTATTTCCATCATCCCAACCTCACCGGCACAAAATGGTGGTATTCCCATCATCCTAACCTCATTTGCACAAAATAGTGGTATTCCCATCATCCCAACCTCACCGGCACGAAATGGTGGTATTTCCATCATCCCAACCTCACCTGTACAAAATGGTTGTATTCCCATCATCCCAACCTCACCTGTACAAAATGGTGGTATTCCCATCATCCCAACCTCACCTGTACAAAATGGTGGTATTCCCATCATCCCAACCTCACCGGCACAAAATAGTGGTATTCCCATCACCCTAACTTCACCTGCACAAAATGGTGTCATTTCCATCCCCCCCCCCAAAAAAAACCAACAAAAAACTCACCTGCACAAAATGGTGGTAGTCCCATCATCCTAACCTCACCTACACAAAATGCTGGTATTTCCATCCCCCCCCCCCCAAACACAGGAACTCACCTGCACAAAATGGTGGTATTCCCATCATCCCAACCTCACCGGCACAAAATGGTGGTATTCCCATCATCCCAACCTCACCGGCACAAAATAGTGGTATTCCCATCACCCTAACTTCACCTGCACAAAATGGTGTCATTTCCACCCCCCCCCCCCCCCAAAAAAAAACAAAACCAACAAAAAACTCACCTGCACAAACTGGTGGTAGTCCCATCATCCTAACCTCACCTACACAAAATGCTGGTATTTCCAACCCCCCCCCCCCAAACACAGAAACTCACCTGCACAAAATGGTGGCATTTCCACCCCCCCCCCCCCCCAAAAAAAAAAAACAAAAAACTCACCTGCACAAAATGGTGGTATTCTTATTGGCTAAATCAGCTGGGTAGCACGTGGACAGCTCACGAGAGCAGGCATATTTAGCATAGCTGGAGTTGGCTGAAATCAAATTCAATCGGAAATAGTTTCAATGTGTTCACCGAGCTTTGTGTATTTGTGAATGTGTTTTAGTGAATTTGTTAGTTTTAGTGAATGTGTTAGAGTTTTAGTTTATGAGAGTTTTAGTGAGGGTGTTAGTGTTTTAGTTAACTTCTTAGTAATAGTGAATGTGTTAGAATTTTAGTGGATGTGTTAGAATTTTAGTGGATGTGTTAGAATTTTAGTGGATGTGTTAGAATTTTAGTGGATGTGTTAGTTTAAGTGAATGTGTTAGTTTAAGTGAATGTGTTTGAGCTTTAGCGAATGTGTTAGTGTTTTAGTGAACGTGTTAGTGTTTTAGTGAATGCAGTAGCGTAGCAAGGGGGGGGGGGGGGCGGGGACATATGTCCCCTGGGCGCCGACCTTAGGGGCGCCAAAATGGGTTGGAAAAATAAATTGAAAGGTTGAGGGGGGGGGGGGTGCAAATCGAAATCTTGAGAGGGGGTGCAAATCGAAAGTTTGAACGGGGGGGGGGGGGGGTGGGTGGGTGCAAATCGAAATCTTGAGGGGGGGGGGTGCAAATCCAAAAGTTTGTCCCCGGTCGCAGGGAAGGGTCGCTACGCCTATGAGTGAATGTGTTAGTTTAAGCGAATGTGTTAGTGTTTTAGTTAACGTCTTAGTTTAAGTGAATGTATTAGAATTTTATCAAATCTAAGTCTATAGTGCGCCTGCGTGTGTTAATGTGTTTGTGTGTGAGTGTATATTTAGTTGTGTTTGTGTGTAAATATAAATTTACACAAAGAAATATATTTATATATATATAGTTGATATATATATATATATATATATATATATATATATATATATATATATATATATAGAGAGAGAGAGAGAGAGAGAGAGAGAGAGAGAGTTTATTCGATCAAAAACCACAGTTCTTTATCCTCTTATATTTTAGATTAGATATTATTATTTCCACGTAGAAATATTTTCCCCAAAGTCCAAAAATATATTTTTAAAGTATAAAATAAGTATTGGCTGACGTCTCCCTTAAATACCAACATATGCTGATGTCCCACTAGTAACGGGTGCTTGTGTGGGGTACGGGGGAGGGGAGGGAGGGGGTAACAGATCTAATGACGCTGAATACGAACATATAAAGAAGAGTGCGAATTCCCCACTCCCCCCACACCCTGTCATCCCCTTAGACACACTGTTATACACAACCAGTCATTACCGACGGTCATTCCTCTCCCCACCCCCACCCCCATACCTACTGTTACGCACAGAGTTTCTTCCAGGCATCTCTTCGGGGCCCCGAATTTTTTTTACCGCCCCCCCCCCCCCCCGAACGAAATGAAATTTATATAATTTATATAGAAAATATATACTTTTAACAGTGTCCGCCTTCCCCCCCCCCCCCCCCCCCCCGAAGAAAGTCTACCGCCCCCCCGAAAATTTCAAGTGCCCCCCCCCCCCGGAGAAAAAAGCCTGGAAGAAACACTGGTTACGAACACCTTGTCATATACCAACATGATGTTCCATTTGATCACGTTTACAGATGTTAACTCACACGAGTGCAAGTGATATGTGGTACACCATGAAATCAAACAAACTTAGGTATTCAGTTATGTAGACCTACATTTTTATTAATGGATATATTTGTAATTTAGCAACTTAACTACAGTGTTTGTTTCATTTTTGTAACTATTTTTTGAGTTAATTTATAAATTTGATTACAACGGTGCTATTAATTATGTAACAATGGTTTTGGTTGTTAGAAAATTGGTACAATTTGATTACGACGGTGCTATTAATTATGTAACAATGGTTTTGGTTGTTAGAAATTTGGTACAATTTGATTACAACGGTGCTATTAATTATGTAAACAATGGTTTTGGTTGTTAGAAATTTGGTACAATTTGATTACAACGGTGCTATTAATTATGTAACAATGGTTTTGGTTGTTAGAAATTTGGTACAATTTGATTACAACGGTGCTATTAATTATGTAAACAATGGTTTTGGTTGTTAGAAATTTGGTACAATTTGATTACAACGGTACTTCTATGATGACCGACAGAGCAAAAACGTTTTTGTAAAGTTAGGGTCCAATGTAAAGGTCAAGGCGAGAGTGAAGACTATGATTGGATGAATTTAGAAATACGACTAATTAAGTCAGGCACGGGGTTATATTAATGACAGCAACACCAGATTTAAAAAATCCGCTTCAACAAGACCATGCCAGCTATAATACAAGTACCATTTTTAACTCTAAATAAAAGAAACCTACCACATTTGGTTTCCAGCGTCTCATAAAAATCCTTCAAAGACGCAACTGTTTTTTCCTCCTTACATTTTTCGATTAGATTTTTCTTACACAGTAAGACGGCGCTAAAGTTTCTGATTAAAAAAAAAGATGTTCAACAGAAATGACTCATTACGATTTTTAATGTGCAAGTCTCGAGCTTGGCTCTTGCTCGAGTTTGTTGGACCTCATAGAGTTCACTCAGCTTTAATGGGTACCTGAGTCCCTCATACGCCGAGGGGAAAAAAACTCACGTTAGGGGAAACTAAGATGGCATGGCATACTGCTGACCACATATACCAAGGGCACAGAAACAGGTGAACTCTACTTCATCTGCCGCTATAGACTGTAGGTTCAAAAGTGTGATTTAAAACACCCCCCCCCCCTTGAGCAAAATGCCCGAAAGAAACCTAGGATACTAAAACACATTTTCTTCGCACCTGCCGATATTAGACTAGTATCAAGATTGTTTTACAAAATGGCAATTTACATTTATTTAAAAAAATACAACATAACATGTTGTTTAAACTAAATTAAATGAAATTTCGATGAGAACATTCTTTTGAAGCAATTAAGCGCAATTATAAACATATAAATCAAGCTGAACAAACTATTTTTTAAATGAATAGAATTAAAATTTTAAACAACACTTCAGTACTAATAGAGTTTACGTTAAGTATATAGGAACATGACATGATTCAAATCAAGCAGTTACAAAAAAGTCCACGAAGAGCATTGCATTAATTAACTATTAGAAATCTTAAAACGGTACCAATCACAATCAGAAGTTAGCATTCAGAATAATCCTACGGGTTTAATGAACAGAAGCAAGCGGGAGAGTCAAGAGGTAAAAAATTGAAATCGAACATATTTCCCATCTGTCAAGCATGCTTACACATTACATCAACTGCCCAACAACCAAGCATGCTTACACATTACATCAACTGCCCAACCACCAAGCATGCTTACACATTACATCAACTGTCCACACACCAAGCATGCTTACACATTACATCAACTGTCCACACACCAAGCATGCTTACACATTACATCAACTGCCCAACCACCAAGCATGCTTACACATTACATCAACTGTCCACACACCAAGCATGCTTACACATTACATCAACTGCCCAACCACCAAGAATGCTTACACATTACATCAACTGCCCAACAACCAAGCATGCTTACACATTGCATCAACTGCCCAACAACCAAGCATGCTTACACATTACATCAACTGCCCAACAACCAAGCATGCTTACACATTGCATCAACTGCCCAACCACCAAGCATGCTTACACATTACATCAACTGTCCACCCACAAAGTATGCTTTCACATTACATCAACTGCCCACCCACCCACCAAGCATGCTTACACACTAAACAAATCTCCTCACCATTAAGTATTACAGATTACACGTAATTCCTATATCACTAATATAACTCGTCATTTTCAGTCAACATCTAAGTAAACCTACATCTGTTAGTAACAGTCCATCTACCGAGTAAGGACCTAGGTAGAGGAACGAATCCAGTACAGACCACGACCATGCAGTCATTTAATACAGTCCCTCTACCAAGTAAGGACCCAGACAGAGGAACGAATCCAGCCCAGGCTACGACCATGCAATAATTTAATACAGTACCTCTACCAAGTAAGAACCCAGGTAGAGGAACGAATCCAGTACAGGCCACGACCATGCAGCAGTCACTTACCCACAGGGATTTTCTTTTATTTGAGCATCGAGACAGTTCGAGTCACAGGGGTCGGCTGTTAAAGAGTTAACATTATCCTGAATTAAAAAGTTGTATCGGATATCGCTGGAAACGGAGAAGCGGAACTAGAAAAATCCGTACTTTTTTTTAATATTCGGAGCAGCAGTAACCACGTTTTAATTAATTAAAATTAATTAATTATTTTTCTGGCATTGCTACTCTATTTATAGCTATAAGGGGTTATCCATCAATGACGTCAAGCTTTTTGGACGATTTTTACCTCCCCCTCCCCTCCGTCACACATTGTCACAAAAAGCCAGACCCCCCCTATAAAATGACGTCACACCCCAGCCTACAACCTCCCACCCCCTTAAAATTGCTGTTTGATTTTTCTTAAAACATCGATTTTTTTCAAAAATCTTGTCTGAACTGTCAACATAGAGTATTTTAACCAATTTCTATTACAATTTATTAAACCTTTTTCTAAAACGGGAAATAACGGCAAAAAATTAGTTTTCTAACATTGCTTTTTTTATAATGCAAAAGTGTGATGTCATCCTCTCTGAAAGCCCCCCTCCCCCTCATCACACACTGTCACAAAATTACAACCCCCCTACGAGTGTGACGTCATTTATGGACGCCCTCTGACCCAATCGTACAACCCCAGTAACTTCGATATAAAGGGTAGAATCTTCTTCTTCGTTCTTAATTCTAGTGTTTTAATGTGTTCCCTCCAACACAATTATGTATCAATATGTTATGCTCCTTATTTCAGACTACTTTTTTTTGGATTAAACTCCATAGCATTTGTCCAACTAAGAACAAAATTCAAGGCAGCAGTTGTTTAATTTTGGAGTTGTCTCGCCCAGAAGAGTGGCTATCCCCAGCTATCGAGCCTCATTTGCCCGAGGATTTTAATTCGAGACTTTTCAATTTAGCAACCATGAGCTTTACCGAGTCGACCAGGCCGACTCCTTAAAGAGTAGCGATGCCAGAAAGAAAAATAGCCTCACCAGGGCTTTGACTGCTAGTTGATACATTTTATTTTCAGTTAGACCTACCACAGTTTTTATACACGAGGTTGAAATAACGTATCAACTGTTCAAGCTTTTGTTTATCTTTGCATGTCTCCAACATGCGTCTTTCACACTGTTTAATGTCATCGATGTATCTAATAAAAAAAAAAGATGTTACAGCAATTACTAATTGCGATTTCTAACATGAAAGTTTCGAGTTTGGATCAGTGTCCGAGTTTGTTGAGTCCAACCAGCTCTTTAGTGTGCCTGATCGAAGTATGGGATAGTAAATGCAGCGCGCATAGTACTGACCATACTAAGCATTCATACGTCGCGTGCTGAGAAAGAGATCAACTCTACTTTATCCAGGAATCGAGAGAGAGATCAACTCTACTTTATCCAGGAATCGAGAGAGAGATCAACTCTACTTTACCCAAGAATCGAGAAAGAGATCAACTCTACTTTATCCAGGAATCGAGAAACAGATCAACTCTACTTTATCCAGGAATCGAGAAAGAGATCAACTCTACTTTATCCAGGAATCGAGAGAGAGATCAACTCTACTTTATCCAGGAATCGAGAAAGAGATCAACTCTACTTTATCCAGGAATCGAGAAAGAGATCAACTCTACTTTATCCAAGAATCGAGAAAGAGATCAACTCTACTTTATCCAGGAATCGAGAGAGAGATCAACTCTACTTTATCCAGGAATCGAGAAAGAGATCAACTCTACTTTATCCAGGAATCGAGAAAGAGATCAACTCTACTTTATCCAGGAATCGAGAGAGAGATCAACTCTACTTTATCCAGGAATCGAGAAAGAGATCAACTCTACTTTATCCAGGAATCGAGAAAGAGATCAACTCTACTTTATCTAGGAATCGAGAAACAGATCAACTCTACTTTATCCAGGAATCGAGAGAGAGATCAACTCTACTTTATCCAGGAATCGAGAAAGAGATCAACTCTACTTTATCCAAGAATCGAGAAAGAGATCAACTCTACTTTATCCAGGAATCGAGAGAGAGATCAACTCTACTTTATCCAGAAATCGAGAAAGAGATCAACTCTACTTTATCCAGGAATCGAGAAACAGATCAACTCTACTTTATCCAAGAATCGAGAAAGAGATCAACTCTACTTTATCCAGGAATCGAGAGAGAGATCAACTCTACTTTATCCAGGAATCGAGAAAGAGATCAACTCTACTTTATCCAGGAATCGAGAAAGAGATCAACTCTACTTTATCCAGGAATCGAGAAAGAGATCAACTCTACTTTATCCAGGAATCGAGAGAGAGATCAACTCTACTTTATCCAGGAATCGAGAAAGAGATCAACTCTACTTTATCCAGGAATCGAGAAAGAGATCAACTCTACTTTATCCAGGAATCGAGAAAGAGATCAACTCTACTTTATCCAAGAATCGAGAGAGAGATCAACTCTACTTTATCCAGGAATCGAGAAAGAGATCAACTCTACTTTATCCAGGAATCGAGAAAGAGATCAACTCTACTTTATCCAGGAATCGAGAAAGAGATCAACTCTACTTTATCCAGGAATCGAGAAAGAGATCAACTCTACTTTATCCAGGAATCGAGAAAGAGATCAACTCTACTTTATCCAAGAATCGAGAAAGAGATCAACTCTACTTTATCCAGGAATCGAGAAAGAGATCAACTCTACTTTATCCAGGAATCGAGAAAGAGATCAACTCTACTTTATCCAAGAATCGAGAAAGAGATCAACTCTACTTTATCCAAGAATCGAGAAACAGATCAACTCTACTTTATCCAAGAATCGAGAAAGAGATCAACTCTACTTTATCCAGGAATCGAGAGAGAGATCAACTCTACTTTATCCAGGAATCGAGAGAGAGATCAACTCTACTTTATCCAGGAATCGAGAAAGAGATCAACTCTACTTTATCCAGGAATCGAGAAAGAGATCAACTCTACTTTATCCAGGAATCGAGAAAGAGATCAACTCTACTTTATCCAGGAATCGAGAAACAGATCAACTCTACTTTATCCAGGAATCGAGAGAGAGATCAACTCTACTTTATCCAGGAATCGAGAAACAGATCTTCTCTACTTTATCCAGGAATCGAGAAAGAGATCAACTCTACTTTATCCAAGAATCGAGAGAGAGATCAACTCTACTTTATCCAGGAATCAAGAAACAGATCAACTCTACTTTATCCAGGAATCGAGAGAGAGATCAACTCTACTTTATCCAGGAATCGAGAGAGAGATCAACTCTACTTTATCCAGGAATCGAGAGAGAGATCAACTCTACTTTATCCAGGAATCGAGAAAGAGATCAACTCTACTTTATCCAGGAATCGAGAGAGAGATCAACTCTACTTTATCCAGGAATCGAGAGAGAGATCAACTCTACTTTATCCAGGAATCGAGAGAGAGATCAACTCTACTTTATCCAAGAATCGAGAAACAGATCAACTCTACTTTATCCAAGAATCGAGAAACAGATCAACTCTACTTTATCCAAGAATCGAGAAACAGATCAACTCTACTTTATCCAAGAATCGAGAAACAGATCAACTCTACTTTATCCAAGAATCGAGAAACAGATCAACTCTACTTTATCCAGGAATCGAGAAAGAGATCAACTCTACTTTATCCAAGAATCGAGAAAGAGATCAACTCTACTTTATCCAAGAATCGAGAAAGAGATCAACTCTACTTTATCCAGGAATCGAGAAACAGATCAACTCTACTTTATCCAGGAATCGAGAAAGAGATCAACTCTACTTTACCCAAGAATCGAGAAAGAGATCAACTCTACTTTATCCAAGAATCGAGAAAGAGATCAACTCTACTTTATCCAAGAATCGAGAGAGAGATCAACTCTACTTTATCCAGGAATCGAGAAAGAGATCAACTCTACTTTATCCAGGAATCGAGAAAGAGATCAACTCTACTTTACCCAAGAATCGAGAAAGAGATCAACTCTACTTTATCCAGGAATCGAGAAAGAGATCAACTCTACTTTATCCAGGAATCGAGAAAGAGATCAACTCTACTTTATCCAAGAATCGAGAAACAGATCAACTCTACTTTATCCAAGAATCGAGAAACAGATCAACTCTACTTTATCCAAGAATCGAGAAACAGATCAACTCTACTTTATCCAAGAATCGAGAAACAGATCAACTCTACTTTATCCAGGAATCGAGAAAGAGATCAACTCTACTTTATCCAAGAATCGAGAAAGAGATCAACTCTACTTTATCCAAGAATCGAGAAAGAGATCAACTCTACTTTATCCAGGAATCGAGAAACAGATCAACTCTACTTTATCCAGGAATCGAGAAAGAGATCAACTCTACTTTACCCAAGAATCGAGAAAGAGATCAACTCTACTTTATCCAAGAATCGAGAAAGAGATCAACTCTACTTTACCCAAGAATCGAGAAAGAGATCAACTCTACTTTACCCGAGAATCGAGAAAGAGATCAACTCTACTTTATCCAAGAATCGAGAGAGAGATCAACTCTACTTTATCCAGGAATCGAGAAAGAGATCAACTCTACTTTATCCAGAAATCGAGAAAGATATCAACTCTACTTTACCCAAGAATCGAGAAAGAGATCAACTCTACTTTATCCAGGAATCGAGAAAGAGATCAACTCTACTTTATCCAGGAATCGAGAAAGAGATCAACTCTACTTTATCCAAGAATCGAGAAAGAGATCAACTCTACTTTACCCAAGAATCGAGAAAGAGATCAACTCTACTTTATCCAAGAATCGAGAAAGAGATCAACTCTACTTTACCCAAGAATCGAGAAAGAGATCAACTCTACTTTATCCAAGAATCGAGAAAGAGATCAACTCTACTTTATCCAGGAATCGAGAAAGAGATCAACTCTACTTTACCCAAGAATCGAGAAAGAGATCAACTCTACTTTACCCAAGAATCGAGAAAGAGATCAACTCTACTTTACCCAAGAATCGAGAAAGAGATCAACTCTACTTTACCCAAGAATCGAGAGAGAGATCAACTCTACTTTATCCAGGAATCGAGAAAGAGATCAACTCTACTTTACCCAAGAATCGAGAAAGAGATCAACTCTACTTTACCCAAGAATCGAGAGAGAGATCAACTCTACTTTATCCAGGAATCGAGAAAGAGATCAACTCTACTTTACCCAAGAATCGAGAAAGAGATCAACTCTACTTTACCCAAGAATCGAGAAACAGATCAACTCTACTTTACCCAAGAATCGAGAAAGAGATCAACTCTACTTTATCCAAGAATCGAGAAACAGATCAACTCTACTTTATCCAAGAATCGAGAAACAGATCAACTCTACTTTATCCAGGAATCGAGAAAGAGATCAACTCTACTTTATCCAAGAATCGAGAAACAGATCAACTCTACTTTATCCAGGAATCGAGAAAGAGATCAACTCTACTTTACCCAAGAATCGAGAGAGAGATCAACTCTACTTTATCCAGGAATCGAGAGAGAGATCAACTCTACTTTATCCAAGAATCGAGAGAGAGATCAACTCTACTTTATCCAGGAATCGAGAGAGAGATCAACTCTACTTTATCCAGGAATCGACCATTTCTCCAACACAGAAAAAAATCCTTGGTTCTTATAAAAAAATGTCTTGAGACAAAAACAACGTCGAATCGTTGTGATATGTGAGTAATGGTATCATTAGATGAGTAGGTTAGGATTAGACTCGTTGATTTGTTTTGATATGATGATATGTAGGATGATGCTTGGAATCAAGATTAGGGTAGCATTATAAAAAAAACAATCTTTTTTCGATATGACCTGTATGGAATTGAAGAGACTTTTAAAAAGTTAAATTGAAAGACTAGTAGCATACATTAAATTAAAACATTGTTTACTTCATTTATATTCATACAGACATTAATTTATTTTACAAGAATACAATTATGTTTATAAAATTACTTAAACCGGCTAAATTTTACAGTTAAATAAACAATTCGAAATTAAAACGTTAAAATGCAACTAAAGAAGTTTATAAAAGCGTACAAGCTAGATAAATGTAGACGATTAGTTATCACGATTTCAATAATGCAGGTATATAGAAAACAGTTTACTTGATGAAGAGAATCTAACGGCATTTAGTGACAAATATGTGCGGGATTAACAAACAGAATCACACTGTCATGACTAAAATTAGCATTTAGATTTACCATAGTTAAAAGATTTAACAAACAGAATCACACAGTCAAAACTGAAGTTAGCATTCAGAATTACCGTAGTTAAAAGAATTAATAAACATAATCACACATTCAAGATTAAAATTAGCATTCAGAATTAACTTAGTTAAAAGATTTAACAACCAGAATAAACCAGTCAAAACTAAAGTTAACATTCAGAATTAACTTAGTTAAAAGATTTAACAACCAGAATAAACCAGTCAAAACTAAAGTTAACATTCAGAATTAGCTTAGTTAAAAGATTTAACAACCAGAATAAACCAGTCAAAACTAAAGTTAGCATTCAGAATTAGCTCAGCTAAAAGATTTAATAAACCGAATCACACAGTCAAGACTAAAGTTAGCATTCAGAAATAGCATAGTTAATAGATTTAACAAAAAGAATCATACAATCAAGTCTAAAGTTAGCATTTAGAATTAGTGGAAAAAGTTCAATGAATAAGTGAAAAAAACGAACGCAAATAATGTAATCAAGCATGCTTACACACGATGAAAATCCCCCTTCAGCCAATCATGCTTACGAATTAGGCTGACCTTACGTCAAGCATGCTTACACTGCACCACTGTGTTAGATTTCACATCTTGATTGCGATTGAGCCTAAAACCCTCCCCCACCCCCAATCTATGTAAATAATAACCCCACCCCCAGTCTATGTAAATAATAAACCCCCACCTCAATCTGTAAATAATAACCCCCACCCCCAATCTATGAAAATAATAACCCCCACCCCCAATCTATGTAAATAATAACCCCCACCCCCAATCTATGTAAATAATAACCCCCAGCTGCCATAAACTTTAAACACTTTACCATGTATGTACTGTTACTGTTACTTCAAAGCCCTTTAGTATTAACTGTTATCATACCATCAAAGCCCTTTCGCATTAATTGCCAATATGATTATAAAATAGGATAATCATCATCAGTCTTTTCTCAATAAAGCAGTTCATCTACACTTTATACTTTCTAAGTCATCTACTAAGCCCTTTACTAGTATCACATCTTATGTCTTTTAAGTAAGCACATCACAATCAGTATTCCATGCCATTATTTTGAGTCACGTATCTCAGTCACGTATCTCACTAACTAGTCATTTGATAGTCGATCCATGAAGCAAAGACCCTCCTTCCGTGAAACAGGCAGGAACGAATCCAACACAGACCACGAGCATGCAGTCACTCACCTACAGGTATCTGTTTTAATTTTAACAGTCAGACACGAGGGGATGCACGTGTTGGTTGATCCTGACGCGTCGACTCCTAGGATTAAAAGGATTGGGATCCAGTACTGATGACAACAGTAGGAAGATGAACGCGATTGTCAAGGCTAGAGAACAAGGTGCCTAGGACCGGATTTAGGCAAGTTAAGGCGATACGTAATTTGAGATATGGAGTGAAGTGAAGTGCCCTTTTGAATCTTACGGTCAGGTGAAGTAGAGTTCACCTGTTTCTGAGACCTAGGCATATGAAAGGATAGCGTGGTCAGCATTACGCCCGGCCGCCGTAGTTTTCCTAATGTGAGTCAGGTACCCATTAGAGCTGGGTCGACTCAGAGACGTCGTACGGCCTTATAGCTTGGGATCCGAACTCAAGACTTTCGGGTTAGCTTAGATACAATATGCTACCTAGGCTGGTTTACAGAGTGTTCATAGTAACAAATAACGGAGCAGTAAATTTAACTATTGCTTATTCGGAAAAAAGTGCCCACCCCAGAGAAAATTAAGTAATTAAATACTTCAACCATTCTTATAATTGCCCCTCCCCCCCTCCTCTCTCCCACCATGAAGTTTAAAATGCCAACCCCCTCCCGGAACAAAATTGTCTGAAAGAAACCCTTCTCCCCATCTATTTTTTTACTCGGGTATTCATCTTTAAATACAAAACATGAAACCGGAAATGACATGCGATCGGTGAAGACACCCACTTCCGGTGCATAGATTATTATGACAAAGTTTCTCGGCCGTTCGATCATACTCAATGGCTACCTGATGGGGGGTCAGGGTTCATCAAGGGAGGTAATTATATGTCAATCGGGGAATTGCGTTATAAATCCACAACTTTTTGTGTAAAACCATCTTGCGTATACAAGAAGTAATTGGTAATATAAATATATATCCTGCACGTATAAATGCACTTATCAATATATATTTAGCTGTTACAGAATTTTTTAATAACGATATTAATTCGTATTTACACCCTATAAAATTGAGCCAGGAAAGTTATGGTACAAGCTGGTGTTAAATTATGGTCTACTCCAGCTGAATTTAAAACCAGATACGTAGAACGGAATTTAAATGACAATCAAAAACATTTTTTTTAAAGTTAAAGAAATTATTTAAAAATGAAGTAGCTCTCCAATTACTTGTTTTAAATTGCAAATAAAAGTATTTTTAAAAAATGTAACTTAGGTACAATTAGTTTACGCGGCTTCAAAAAGTATATATCTATATTGCATTTTGTTTTAATCTACAGCCATTCAATGATTATTTTACGAAAGTGTAACTTCTTATAGAGCAAATTTAGGCTTGATAAAAATAAATACAAATGTAGCTTAAAAAAAATTGAAGTAGCTCCAAGAATTCTAAACTCGAGGAGTAAATAAAACAAATTAAATCAATTTTTAAAAAAGTAATATATTTAACAAGGAAGTTAGTTACATGATAAAAAAATAAAATATGGGCTATCTTTGATCAGTGGCGTAACAATTGGACGGCGGGGCCTATCGAGTTCGAATCCGAGTTCAAGTCAGTGGAACGTCCCTGAGTCGATTCAGCTCTGATGGGTACCTAACTTACGTTAGGGAAAATAAAGGTGGCTGGGCATAGTGCTGACCACACTATGTCTACGCCGAGGTCAAGAAATATATAAGCTCTACTTTTAACTTCCTTTAGCGGTAGAGAGCTGGACTGCTAACTCGAAAGTCTCCAGTTCGAATCCCGGTTCAAGTCAGTAGACTTGAGTCTACCTAAATCACGTTAGGGAAAGTAAATGTGGCTGGGCATAGTGTTGACCACACTATCCCTTTATATGCCTTATATGCCGAGGTCACCGAAACAAGTGAACTCTACTCCAGTTTCCCCAAAGACTGTCAGGTTTGAAAGGGAACTTTTACTTTTTGTTTCAGAGGCGTAGCGAGGGGGGGGGGCGGGGGGGGGGACATATGTCCCCGGGCGCCGACCTTTGGGGGGGCGCCAAATTGACAGTTTGAGGGGGGGTGCAAATGAAAAGTTCGAGGGGGGGGGGGTGCAAATCGAAAGTTTGAGGGGGGGGGGGTGCAAATGAAAAGTTCGAGGGGGGGGAGGTGCAAATCGAAAGTTTGAGGGGGGGGGTGCAAATGAAAAGTTCGAGGGGGGGGGGGTGCAAATCGAAAATTTGCTCCCGAGGGGGGCGCCAAATTGAAAGTATGTCCCCGGGCGCCGGGAAGGGTCGCTACGCCTCTGTTTTGTTTACTTCATCTACCCAATGGATCTCTAGGTCTGAAGGGGAATCTTGAGTTATTCTACTGGGTATCAAATGGCATTGCAATGGCATTATTTTTAATATGCTACAAACCCAATTACACTTAATGATACAAATACTTCACTTTATAGTTATCACAAAATATAAATATGTATACAACACATAAAAATCTGAAGGGAAATGATAGATACAACAAAAAGGGACCCATATTATAATAATTTTTCATTGTTCGGATATCTTCAATATATTCCCCGTTCACTTCAACAGCCGCCAGCGTATGATAGTAAAAAAAAAAACAGGACACACATAGAACTAGCAATCATGCAACGTTTCGATAGCCTTTGACAAACATCATTAACATAAATAAAAACAACAACACAACAACAGAATAACCACTGCTTTGTTTATATTTATATCAGGGGCATGACAGTGCATACTAATTTATCATTATCTTCATGCAATATATTTTTTTTTAGATCGACAACTTATGTTGAAATAGGAAATTCACACTTTGAAACTAATTTATTGGTTATGTTTAAAAAAAAAATTAACTGTCACTATCTTGTTGAGGTGTAAATTCCCTCCTTCCCCCCCCCCCCCTACTCCCCAACTAAACTCCATAAAGCTGTTTGAATTTCGTCAGTGTCAACACAAGGCCCTTCTCCTCCAAAGTAAAAAAAAACAGAACGGAATCATCGTATGGACAACCTCATTGATAGGCATGGCGTATTGACCAGCACACACACCGAGAGGCCTTCTCTATTGACCGCCCCCACCCCCTCCCATTCCCCTGGGTCTACTCAGCTTCCCCTGCATACCGTGCTCAGCTAAGCATATAGACAGAACGACTCACGCAGCCACAAGATGGCGCGCAAGTCAACACGTGGGCCAGGGACCGGAAACGATATCGACAACCAATTCGCCCGGCGCAGACGGGTCCCCAATAACCGGCCCGTTTCTTGTCAACTTGGAGTTTAATTAAATTCCACCGAGATCTAGGTTCCACCGAGATTTAGACCTGTCTTCCTCAAAAAGCTATATATTTTTTTTCATTTTGAGTTCCTTTTATTATTTTAAAACAAAGAACTACATAAATAATCATGAGCTCTATTCTCGTAAATCTTAATAACAGGTAGGCCTATATAGTGGAAATAAGCTATGGGCATTACTATGTGCTAAATAGAAAGTAAAATGGTTAAATAAAAGCCATAGATTCGTCATACAGAAAATGTGGGTTTTTATTAATGAACTATATGTATATGTATATATATATATATATATATATATATATATATATATATATATATATATATGAATGTATATAGGCACATATATACAGAGTGTGAAAACAAACAATTCTATCTGACTTGGAAGATTACTTTCGTTATTTCATGTGCCAGAACACAGAAAAACTTGCTGCGGATTGAGGTCACATGTATGTCAAAATGTTGGCCAAACAAATCCCAAGGGATATTTTCTTTTCTCTCTCATCCCTCTCGTTCTCTCTGTCCCTCTCTTTCTCAATCTCATTTCTCCTTCCCTTCCACCATTTATTTTTCTCTCGGTATTTTTGCTGAGTTGTTATGGAGTTGTCGTGCTTAGTTTCATCAAATTTAGGATCCGGATTATTCTGGTCTTGTTTTAAGTGAAACAAACCACAGTAAAAGTTTGCATTAGCGCCTTTGCTCCGTGCGGCTTCCTTAACGAATTCCAGCAGTAAAAAATTATAATATGATTGTTTTTCTACTGCCGAACTTTAGGTGTATAGCAAACTTAATGCATTTTAAAATTTTTTGAATATAGTTATTGTGTTTTTTTTTCTAAATAGCGTATCCCAAGATATTTTTGCTTTAAGATATTTCTTATCAGATTAAATACATATATTCTTTAGCTGATTAACTATGCATTGAGTAAGAAAAAGGTAAAAACAAAAAAAAATACTTTATTTGTATTTGATTGGAAATTCTTGGATAAAATTGAGATAACTAAGGAAAGTGACATCAATATGTAAAATACACACATCCTTAAAGGAAGATACATCGTGGCCTAGCGGTAGAGCTCTAGGTTGAAGTCAACTTCATCTGCTCCTTGTGTCTTGGGCACGAACGGAAAATATGATTCTTAAAGAACGAGGTGGATAAAGAAAATATGGGTTAAGTAAAATTTTTAAACTCCAAATAGTTGGTATGCACGGTTAAAATGACAGAAAAGCAGTGAGTTATTTTTAGAAAATTAGGTCGAAAAACCCGGATGAAGGCTGAGAAAAGATGAAGAATGAAAGAGGAAAAATTAAGCATTGTCGATATGATTTTGATGTATTGAACATAAATAATTGATCGGCTAATCAGGCTTGGATTTGAATAATGCCAGAACAGAATCGATGTGATTGATGGCAAGAACAAACATCTGATTGATCGGGCTGTGTATCGATTTCTCGTAGGGTAGGCCTACTCCTCGTCGAGAAAAAAAGTATTGATGGGTTATCAATCAGTTTTATGATTGTTAATTAGATCGGTTGGGTGTTTTTTAATTTCTGGTGTAATGAGAAATGATGAAAAAAAATAACATCCAATCTAAAAAGTTGCACTGAAAATGTAATGATATAACGGGGAAAATAAACATTAACAAATTCCACTCTATCTTATCTACAAAGCTGTACTGAAAACTTAGTAATGAAACATATAGTGTTAGTTACCTCACAAGTTAAAGACAGTTACAAATACTATGGACGTTTCGACCCAAGGTCTTCGTCAGCACACACCAGCGTGGTTACAGATTAGACAGAAAAGACAAACAGTAAC